CTTCGACATTTGGACGTTATATACGTATATGATAGACTGTCAGGTTGTCATGCAGCAAACGGCTAATATATTTTTTGTCCTGCTTGTTGCTCCAGTGGACGATAGGCATTTCGACTGCGTCCTGTTAGCTCATTTCATGCAAATACATTTCATGGATTGGTCGATCAATAGTTTGCCATATAGCCCTAATCAGTTGTATATATTCTGCAGAACTACTACTAGAAACGCTAGAAACCATATAGGTTGAGTGTGGAGCATAGGCTGTGTATAGGTCTTGATTGATTATTTAGATTGAACGACTGTATCTGTTGTGCTGATTCAAATCTTTTTCATGCAATTAAACATTTAATTCGATTTGTCTTACAATACTAATGGTGACAAAAACACTCCTAATACTAGTGTAACCCCAATTCATGGAGCTATACGGGTGCGTCCACGCAACAGGCTGTAAATTCAACGTAAGTGTTTATCATTATTATGTACAACAAGAGGAACGATACGACTTTGTCACGCCGAGACAGATTGAAGCGGGAACAGAGCATTGAACATCGTGGCTCCACCACGTCCGAGCTGGAACCCACTAAATTTCAGGAACAATTCCATACATGCATTGGAGACTGAAGAAGCCAACGTTAGATAAGTTTCAGATCCTGTGAAATAAGAGGGCAGAGGGTTGCATCGGCTTCGGCTCCCTGTCTCTCTGAATAGAACGCGTTAGGACGGGCCTGTTTATCGTTTAACAACGAAGGCAGCTATGAGGGTCGCCTAGGCTGCTATTATGGTCTTGGACCCTGCGATCTGGGTTATTCCCGGAAGGAAGACCTACTGAATTATCGTGTATCTGTCCGTCCGACCTACTGCAGTAGCTGCAGTTACTGTCGCGCGTTGATATCAAAATCGGCTGTATATGCCTTCTTAAGGCAGTGGTTTGCTTGTCTGTGCTTTCCCAACGTGTTGCTTAATGGCTATAACCTATCGTTGAAACATTAGATAACAGGGACAACGGAAGCGTGTTGACAACTAGTTGGTGCGGTTTTCTGTTCGTGTCTCACTTATGAAAGGAACGAAAAAATACGGGATCTTTTACCATTTTTAATTCGTGAAGTTTATGCATAATGCACATGCAACTTCGCTGCAGGGAATATTAACAATGCTGATCAAGTGGTAGGGATTAACTGCTATCGTTGTCGTTTTGTTTCCGCACGGAACTTCTTTCCGAACTTCATTATTAAGTAGCATAAAATTATAGATTTAAAGATGCGGCACCTAAACGGCTATGACCAGTCATAGTTACCGACGCAGCCGTGCATTCTGTCCTCTAATTGTGTAGAGCGATACTTTTGTAAAACTTGTTTCCTTATGAAAATGTAAAGAAATTTTGTAGAAAAACCATCTTTATTAATTTCAAGTGAAAATTGAAACAGTATCGGCTTTTAGTCCCTTACGACCATAAAGTGGGCCGTGGAAGCTATTTCTATGAATGTTGTGATATCTAAACTAAGTGTAAAATACATTACAAAACATTTGACTTCTATTAACTCTTCCCACCTCGACTTATATCGTATGCTATTGTCACCTTGTCACAAAATCAGGGTTGCTACTCTTCTATCGTTGGCGAAAAAGAGCGTTCATATCGCCTAGTTTTTGCCAGGTTCGTATACGCTGAATCGTCCCTCGAGTAACTGCAGCATCTACATTGCGTGCCATCGGCAATCACAACAGCTCATATACAGGCAATATAAGGAAACAGGGATATAACCGCATATTCTTGCTATACAAATACCTATGTCAATGATCTATACTGACCATGTACGCTAATTCAACGAAGTACCGACACATAATTGCCTTGTCGAGCACGTAGCAACAACCGTCGCGACCTCTAGCCAATTGGTGGCTTTCATGTGGACGTTACGAGTAAGCGAGGACTCCCCAATCGGATGCCGATTCGATGTTACCTCCTCCTTCACACCATGGAAGTAGGCCGTCGTACTTCGCGGGTGCTCGCAAGAGTCCTCGGAGCACAGGCACTGCGAAACACTTCCACACCGCGGATAGAACGAGCCGCCTCCTTCGAACCCGCCTATCCGGTAGTTCCAGCGCAATGCAACTTGGCAGTTGCCTTTTCAGTACCGGCACCGCATCACGCTGTGGTTGTCTTTACAACACCGATGACCATATGAGTGCTCCGCAGGCTTCGCCAGTTGGACTCCGGGTCCAGGTGGAACTCCACAGGCTTCTCCACCTTCAGCAGAAGTCGTACGAGCGCCAGTACGGACCCAGCTGCCCCTCTCAACTCCGATCTACAGAGCCGCGAAGTACGTTGACTCCACAGCGAAGCGCGGAAGGCAGTCCCTGCTGGCTTCGTCCACCAGGATGTCCTATTCTGCCACAGCTGCAATGCCGCTTGCAAGCGCTCCGGTGCTGTAAGCGGTTATAATAATAAGAGCAGCAGGCGAACAAACCTTTCTCGCTAGCCATTATGACGAAGGCTTTGAGGGGTAACCACAGAGGAACACAGTGCCGTAGCTGCCGCAGCGACAATTTACTAAGAGGCACGTGCAGGCCACGTGGAGCGCTATTGCCTTACATCGCACGGCCTTATATATGTTCCCAAACGAAGGAAAATTCATTAGTATAGGGAAAAATGCAAAGTTATATCCTTAAGCACATACGCGGTGATGTACCGAAGCACTGTGGTTAGCGCAACGGACCTTTTGAGTCGACATGAATCGGGAATAGGAATATACCGTTGATAATTGTACCAAACTAGAGTTGAATCTGATTCAAAGATCATCACAATAATTCTCCATTTCACGTTTGCTAAATGTCATCATATGCGTGTGGCCTGAATTAAAAATGATGAAACGATAGTTCGTTTGTTTGTCTTCTTGTTGGCCAAATTTACTCTAGTTTTTATTATTACACAAGTCCGTGCATATTAAGCCTATTAAAGTTCTGTGATACGAATACATTTTCGCTAATAAAATGTCCGTCCTGATGTTATATATAAATATCCGTGACAAAAGCCTAGGCATTTACCACCCAACGTGAACGTACGTAAAGACTGCCCTGTTTCTAATCTATAATATAATGCAGCCGATTATATTTTCTCTGACCCAAGAAACGGTTGCGTTTCATCCTGGACTAACTCACTCTAAACTGCCGTAGTCTGGCCTGAGAGAACACGAAGGTAGAGCACTATAATCTGTTCAACGACAAGTACGACGGAGAATCTGGCCAGAGCTACGTGTAACAAAGCAGTGAATATGAACCTTCATTACCTTGCCTAATGTTTCGTTTGCCCCACTGTGAGTCACCACGATTTGCAGAGGACTGTTGCTTAGAGACGGGAAACATTGATCGCGGAGAATTTAATCCGACTCCGAACTCGATGATTGCCACAAGACATTTCTTTCTATGGTGCCATCATCACGTATTTCCTCCCATTTGTTCTAACTTCTCCGCCTATGACCTGCGTTCGTTATCAATTCACGCAGCGCCCAGGGCAATTTCCGGTGTACCAAAATACAATATAACTGAAGGGTTATATACATATATATACGAATATATTATACAATTGTTTGTATTAGACGTTTTTTTATTTCTTTCACAGTCCACACTACAAGGAACCGCACGTTTCATCTATATGAATATACGTAGCAAGGATGTTTCCCTGCTTATGACGTACATGTATCCACGCACGCTCGCTGAGGATCCCCTTCAAGTGACTTCTGTATGTTAAATGTATGTTTAGCAGAACCCCGCTAACCGTGACGGTAAGCAGATACATGGATTGCAACGAAAAGAGCCGAAAATAAATACTGCCACGAAATGTATATCAAAGGTGTATTTTGAAAGTCGTAATTCCGTTCATCATTATCTAGTTGACGATGCGAGAATTCCTTTTATTTAAGTCAATTATACCGAATAAAGCTGACTAAGCTTAGATCGATATTGTTATTTGTTTATGTTTAGTTGTAGCCGGTCACGTCAACGATGCCCATTGTGGTGGTCCTCAAATGATCAAGACTGGATCGCTATTGCGCGTCATTACGTTGATTAGACACTAACCACCTCAAAGACACAGTGAGGTCAAGCAAATAGACTCAAGTTCTTTTACGCTACAATACTATTGCACATCTTGCTAAAATGGGCTAAGATGTTTTCTGGGCTTGTTTTTGTCCCCTGCTTAGGTCGTTAATAGTTCCTTTAACTGACTGATTTCCAGCACGAAACAAGATGTGCGTAGCCACTATTTCAGGCCTGAACCACCACGTGTATTTGAGCTTAGCAGGTAAACACGTTAGCGATTGCGCTATCACGAAGCTGCTGAGATGAGCCGCTCTATCACAACAAATTAAGCAAATTTACTTTGTTAACGAAGCGCAGTTGGTTCACTGGCGGTGCGTGACAAAGCAATTCTGAAAGCGTTTGCCATAGAACACCGAAATCGATATTACTAAATGCCGTCTTTTTCTATCTGCAGTTCCTTGAAGAACATTGATAATCCTAGTCGTCCAATGCAGCTCGGGTTCGTGAATGGCATAGGATTACGAGACGATACCTTTGAACAACATAGATCTAAGCACATTGATTGTGAGCATTTCCTTAAAGCGTACGAAAAACATAGAACAACTTTATGACACGGCGACCTTCTGCATCGCCATTAACATATACATTTCATGAAGATTGAGCTATGCTATATGATGAACATATACACATAAGTCAACGAAATTGATAGTTTCCTGGAGTGAGGTTGTTATGTGTTTTGCGTTAAACTAATATGGACTCAGGGCTAGGCAACCAAAGAATGGCTGGGTAGTCGATTATTCTTAGTAGGTTTTCCAGATACCAGAACCGCGCACTATTCAGCCAAATGTTTCAATATAAGTATTCATAAAGGGCCTGTTTCATCAGTTTTTATACGAAGAAAAAAAAAAAGCACAAAATGCGTATCGCTTTGTTTTCTGTAAATTACAATTTAATTCCTAGTCACCTACCCTCCGTTCAAAAATGACATGATGTAGCTGAACACTCCTGAGACGAAGAGAGCTTGATGATAATGAAGTTTAATGAGTAATTTAGCGTCTGAGAAGTTTTTTTCTTTTCGTTTTGAAATTAACTTTGGTGGGTGGTTTCGTCTAATCTTTTTGTGATTCTTTTATTTCCAAGACTTTTAGGAGAATCAATCTAAGCACTGTTTTTTTTTTGTAGTTGTTATTTCGTCAATGCACTTTTATTCTCTGGCAGTGAAATTGAATAGGCGTTAACAGTGGTACGGCCGCTATTGGCTATGACACGCGCTATCTCTAGAAATTCTAGCTGTTTTTCCTTCCTTTACACTTTGTTCACTTGCTCACTTCACTTTTTTGTTCATTACTTCGGTCCTGCGCCTACCCGAAGGCAACAAACTGGACAAGGGTAATCCATCAGGCGACCCCGGGTGGTCTTCGGGGTGGCCTTCTAGGGCCTTCAGAGGTTGTGTCTGGTTTGCTTCACCTTTTGTCTCCACTGCTAAGCAAAACACATCCTTATTTCTCTACTCAAATCGCGGCTGCTTCTGCTATATCTGTCTTCTTTCTTGTACAGAGTTGTACTTCCCAATAACGTACACCGTAGACCGTACACAATTTTTTCGCATTTATTTCGGATTCCTCATTTTGCCGTAACAACCTTTATTGGTTGCTTTTAGAACATTTCACAAGCACACAGCCACCGCTCATGAACGATGCGGTAATCGACGTCATCAGCGTCGTCTTCAACACTTCCGACGCACTAAAGCCAGACCTGATCACAACTTTTCACCACGCTGCTACCACTTTTTTGGGTGACTTTTTCCTTAAAAACTGCTGCCTCAACGATAGCGGCAGCCTTTTCGTACTCAGCTTGACCTAGGCTATTTCTCCAGAGTGCTTTCTCTCTTGTATATCGTAACGCACCGAGCGCCAGCTCTACTGCTCTGTTTGCATTGTGCAACATAGATAACTTAATCTTTTACTCATTTCGCCCTTTGTTTTCTTCACCCTTCGTGACTTCTTCCACCCTTTATTTCCAGCAATCTGCTCTATCCTTAGGCTCGTTGCACATTCACAAGCACTTTCAACTCTATTCTGCTCCTATATCTTTGTGTCGTTTCCTTTTCAGCCACAACCAGCTCGAGCAAGCAACCTTTTAACATCAACTCCTTCCTCCTGCGTCACCAAATCCTAACCTGCGCCTAGCGGCGCAAGAATTCTTAGCTCGCCAGCTCCCTTGCCGTTTCGGGAGCGGGACCCCTTCCGATCCACGACCGCGCCACACTGAGGGGCCCGCCACGAGCTTCTTGTCTCGGCCGCTAGGAGCGTGCCGAGCGGCGGGCTGAGGAGGCGGAGCCTAGGGGTGACTTTGCGCCCCGCTGCAGGGTACAGCATTGCGGCGGAAGTCTGACCGTCTCGTTGCCGCTCTGAGGCGAGCGGCACCATCGCGTGTAGCTTCTGACAACCGTGGACACCCCTACCGCACCTAGGACTACTACTCTACCGTAACCGTCGCAATCCCTACCAGCAACAGAACGTACGCCGAACGCTGGGGGCGGCAGCAGGATAAGACTGACCACATATCCCACGGAAAGGTGCAGCGCGCCACAATGCCACTAGCGCCGTCGCGACAAAATAGAGCGACGAATCGCTTTATATTGGATCAATTTCGCCTAACAGCGTCGCCATGCCGCTTTGCAAGTACTACGGAGGGATAATAGTAGTGTGTGAAATCAATGGCAGCTTCCTGGATAAATAGATGAAATACATAGAACCTAACGCTAACGGCGCACGGTCGTTAGTTCGTCGGCTGGAACCGAACCGAGCTCAAATTTTGACGACGTTTAGATACGAATGAACACGTCAAACAAACAGATCTACCTTTGTTCCATAATAGCTGACAATCGAAAGTGCGCGTCACTAAGCGATCGAGCCACAGCTCCACTGGGGTGCTATCATACGGATATGCGAACACTAAAATACAACGCCGACAATAATTTTGCAGGGAAAATCTACCGACGGAGGAATGTGACGTCGTAGGGCGGGAGACACGGGGTGAAAACAGACAGACAGTGGGAAAGCGAAAGAGAACGTAATTTGAAGAAGAAAATCGGAGAAGATAATCCTTTACCCGATCGGTTCACCGACTTCGTCTATACGCGTCTCCTTTCACTACTTCCCTTAGCTCACTTAAATTTGCGTAGCCTCCGAGGGCGGAAACAGCCTGAAGATGTCCACGATTGTTCCAGCAAATATTAAAGCTGCTTGGCAACAACAATGGCGCAACAACTACTGATAAGTCTGTATATGCGCGTGCTAACATTTAGAATCCGTCGGTTAAATGCCGCACCTTTTAATTTATTTTTTCTTGAAATATATGACGATGTTAATGATGTTTGTTATACTTGTGAGCAAATTACGAACGCTAGTAGGTCTGATCCGCCTGTAGGTAACATTGGTAGCAATGCAAGAAAAAAGCCACAAGCAAGACATTACTTGAGTTCTACCTGCCTATATAACATTGACAAAACAGCGTACGATAACGCAATGGCTCATGCGAAAATCGTGGTCTGATTTGCTGTTATCTTTTAAACAATTCTAGTGCATGCCGGTGTGTCTGTACAGGCGAGATACATCGGATTCGTTCCCACATCTATCCAGGGCGATGTAAAGGCACCGGGGCAACGAGCTAATGAAGAGATGGAGATGCCTCCACGCTGATCCAAAAGGTCATCTTGTTCAAATGACCCTGTAAATGTAATTAACGCGTGTTTGACTATGGCTTCCGCGGAAGGTCCGCTGTAGGCATCGTTTTCGCTTTAACGAATCGAGTAATATGTTTAATTAATATCTAATAATAATATTATTAGATAGATCCATCGATAGGTATATAGATACATAGATGGATGGATATATAAATAGATTGATATATAGATAAATACATAGATAGGTATATAGATTGATAGACAGATAGATTGGTAGATATATATTGATTGACTGATTGATAGATTGATATATTATTAGTTGATAGATTGATTAGATAGGTAAATAGATAGATAGATAAATTGATTGATAGATAGGTAGATAGATAGATTGATTGATGGATAGATAGATAGATAGATAGATTGATTGATTGATTTGATTGATTAGATTAAATAGATTAGATATACTAGATAGATTGATTGATATCTTGGTAGATAGATTGATATATATATATATATCAATCAATCAGTATATATATATATTGATTGATTGATAAACTTCTTCTAAAATGCAGCATTCGTCTGAGTTTACTCAATGTGTGTCACACAAGATATGGGTGGCACCTGGCAAGCTAATCTTGTTACATTGTCATCAAGTGCTTGTGCTCACTTTTAGACGGTTGGTTTCAGACTAGATCAGAAGGATGAACGCCACGCCATATTCATTGGCATAGACGCCTTGCCCTTTGTCTCATTCAACTAAATACAATAAACATCGAAAGCACGCATTTACTCGGTAAGTCTAACATGGATTTATTTCAGTTAAGGGTCCTTGTTACTTAGACAAGGAGAAGCCAGTTGATAGTTTTAATACATACTAAAACAGCTACCAACAACACTAGCTAGGTCTCAGCTGTTCGTGTTTTGTTAAAGGAAAAATTCGTTGTCTACCTTTATAAAGCTGTGTGAGATTAGACTTAACGTTATCGATGGAGAGATAAACAGAAATGCATTTTGGATACGGTGAAAACCTAGGGTAACAAAAACAACCTTTGAGTCGTAAAGGCTTATAAAGATAAGCTTCAAATACGCAGTGAATACAGCAGATACAACACTTAGAGCTACCCATTATGAGAGTTGGATATTAGGTTTAAAGTCAGGGATTTAGAGCTATATGAAAAGTCATAATATGGTAATATCTTGAAGATACTTAGAGCAGGAATGAAATGTTGATTTGAAAAAGTCATGTATATAAAAGTTTTTTTTTTTCTTGTTTTTCACAGATATCTTGCACTTCCGGGTCGAACCATGTCTAACCAAACTGAGGCAGCGTAGTTCACTGCGATCATAAACCGATTTGATGTGCGGCCTATTTTTTAGCACAATGACCAAGTAACACATTGATAGTAGGCCATTTGAAGCTACAAGCCGTATGGTGTAATAAAACTACATCAATTAAATAAACTTAAAGTTGAAACAACATACAAGGTGTCTAAGATCATCCGCAGTAACTTATCTTTTTGAATAAGGTTAAAATTGAATTGATTATTATCGATTGTATTGCCTCTTGTGAAAATAAATTGTACAGGTGTGTGTGAGAACCGTTTCCTTTACTAGAAAAGTTCCTATTATTTAACATATATCCATTTACAAAGTATCCACTGAATTTACAGAAAACGGGCACGTTTAGGCGTCGTTACAGCATCAGCTCAGAAGCTCCAGATAATTTCAGACGTCAGTCAGAAAAGCTATGCCACGATAATGTGCAGTTAGACGGTGCGGTTTTGGCCGAACTGTCTATGCGCTATAACGGAAAAAACGGCGACCGATTCAGCGCCACGCTATCGTTGACTATTTTAGTTGGCACGTTCTCTGACGAATTCGGAATTCAGTTACTCGGACGAACTGATCCGGACTAATCCCAATCTCGTTACAATCTACACGACAAACGTGATTAAATAAATAGTATTTATATTATATACACTATTATATTATTATTATAACAATATTTTAGTTGGCCTCATTAAAGTTCAAGAAATGAACATCTAGAAGCTCTGTCCCCTATACTCCTAATATTAAGGCTACCTAGACCAAATTCTAAAAAGATTGCAGTTGCAAATGAACCGGATTTAATTTCAGAATGAAAAGTTACGAACACGACAAGTTCATAACCGTTGTAATGCTCTGAATGAAAGCCGGACGCCACATTATGTCTAGGTATGCCAAACTTCTACGGAACTTATACGGTTTTAATTAGAATAAATATGACAGCATATTTAGCATATAAATATATATGGTGATACGAAATTCAGAGATCTATTGGCCATCTAACATTTACGCTTTCGATCGTTCAAAAATTCACCACACAGTTACTTGAATCAACTTATGTCTATACATATTTCATTTTATCTGGCTTAATTTTTACGACGATATATGACAAAGTAAGTTCAACCTGTTCCATCCCCGATGCTGGCTTATAACTCAGATCCACTGTATTGTTCCACAAATACGCTCCTCATAGACAGAAAAGCTGTTAAACACGGATGTCTTGAAAAATACAGGATATTTAGAATCAGCTGACACAATCGATGCGTGTCGTCTCGGAAAGCGGGTCTCTCAGTGTATCAGAACACGCTTGATATGGGCTGTAGTTATGGGCTGTTATAGTTGCATTGTAGACTATAGTGTATAACAGTGCACAATAGCACCATACATGTCCATGATGTAACGAGACCCACACATGCGCAAAATGTACCGGTTCCTTCCACTGGGTCCTTTCCAGGCTTTATTAGTCATAGCTCCGATATCATGAACGTCGATCTAGCTGTTCTTTCTCTCCGGTTTTTTGATAGATTCCGAATAGTCAGTAATGGGGAACTTCAATTTACGTGCTAGATTCTTTATAAATAACGGCCTGTTGCCTACAAAATACACATATCGGTTTAACAATAAAAATACAGTTTAATGATGTGCTGTAAAAACGAAGCTTTGACCCGGTCAAGTCTTTCGAGCTGCTACAATGAGGGGTTTTCGCAGCCGACTCGAATATCGTGGACAGCCGCCTTTATTGCGAACGAAAGCAGCGTCATGCATAAAGAAAGTTTCGAGGGTGTACGTATTCCTACACTCGTAATTATCCCTAGCCGCATCTTTTTCCGTAATGCGCTCTGAGTAAATCTGGCCATTCGTCGGCACGATTGCCTTCAGATACTTAAAAATAGTCAAGTACTTGAAAATCACACTGACATATCTGATAAGTATGGCATGAGTTAAGCTCTCAATTACTGAATGATTGGAAGCCAATTTTAATAATAGTATCCTAATCATCGCTATGGCGTTCAGCAATGCTTGAGACAACTGGCTCACAACACAGAGCGAAATGTGTCTATGCCCGAATTCGAACCACAGGCCTCTGCCTAACACTGTGGGACTCACATTCATTAAAACCTTAGTCCTCGGTAACTTGGAGTACTATCTGGAACTACTTGCGTATACTTTCGGCCATGGCTTGTGGAAGGCGAAAGGTTTGTTCGTAACGAGGCTAACCCGTGTCCTATCTCTCACCCATTACCCTCTCTCATACTAAAATAAGAGAGGTAAGGAGTAAGAGCTGAAAAAATGAAAAAAATGAAACCCTTGGCTTCTGATCTGTTATAACGTTTCCTTTAGTTGCATCATCATCTCCAAAAATCTACTGGCGGCATTCTATTTTTCTACCAAACTCGGTATTCCCCTAACGACGCTCTTGACTGATAATTTTACTCAACTCCGTCGAAGTTTCCAGCAGCGCCTAGAAAAAGAACTCTACTTCAGTCTTTTTGATACCAACCATTTTACGTGTGCAATTGACTTTAACGATCAGCATCTGGATAACATAGTAAGACAGAGGCGTCCCCATGAAAGGATGGCGCTCCCCGAGTCACGTCCAGTATATTGGATCTATTCCAAAGAGAATTCTTTTCTAAATGGCGTAAGGTTCTTTTTTAGCCAGCAGCTTCGATGGTAACATTTTGACAAGGAAAAAGGTTCGGTGGAGCTCGGTATGCAATGGCTACTTTGATATTAGCACTTTTTACGCAGCAAGTAGAATCCTTCCATATCTCTCGTTGTCGAAGGCTATGTTAGCCCAGACGAAAACAGCGTAAAGCACAACAGCTTCAACAATTGTCGCCAATAAATGTCTTACGATTTCCGATGATCCTGCTACCCCGGAATAAGTTTCACAACATTCATAGCCTTCCTCGCTGAATATTCTACTTTTAAACCCTATGCCGAGGAGCACCCCGAGATACCTGAGCTTTTTTCTTAATTTCGATCGGAATTTTACTCAACCAGAAATTCACTCCTTGGTACACTTTTCTGTTGGTCAAATTAGGAGCCATACATTTTTCTGATCTAATCGCGAAAAAAATGCTTCTTCATCCGGGCCTTTATCTTAATTAGTGCAAGACTGACTCTATTAAGGAGGACCTCCTTCTTTCGGCGAGCCTAGGTCATTGGCGTACACTACAAACACGGCTTCCTCTAATAGACCAGGCATGTTAAAAACGTCATCGTACGCGAAATTCTGCAGAAAAGGGCGTAGTATCAGTCCCTAGGGGACAACCGTCGAGGTACCCCGTGTTTTGCGGCCAGCGTTCGACAGTTTATTTATAAGGTGTGACGAGGTAGGTACTCATAAATAGAGAACCCTTTCCCCCAAGCACCTTCATAATCACGGACCAGTTCGCCATGTCGAAAGCACAAGACCCCCTATCCGCGTTTCTCACACTTTCTGTCTATTTCAATGCATTTTATCGGAAACTTTCTTGACAGCTTCGAAAAAAGGCTGCCCTTTTGAGCTTTGAACTTTTCTTTCTTCTACTTCTATTTCAAGCTTGGTGATAATTACATTACGCAATACTTTTGATGTGTTCTTTTCATGTGTCAGAAGACCGCCTAGCTTGCAAAGGTCGATAAGTCAGATCTTGGAATAGTATAGACCACCTTTTTTATGGACATCTTCGGGGCCTGAACGGAGACTCCGTCTGGGTCGGGTGCCTTGCCTGATGTCAACCGCCACTCGCGGCATTTTGCCTAGAGCGCCCTTGGTACAACATATTTACAAGAAATTGCTAAAGCAGTCGTTTGCCAATGGTATTGTCATTTTCTCGACACTCCCTGTTTGTTTCCCTTTGGAGTCGGCTGCAGTGGAGTTTTCTCATCCTCATAGATGGGGACAATGCTGCTGCGCTCGCCCCATCAACACACGTTAAGCAGATCAAATATCTGTGATCACTTTTACTCAGCTTGATCTGTGCTGTTCGCTGTTCCGTAATCACCAGGAGCACATCGTGGTTCGCGATTATAACATCACTGAATGATCCTTAGGCGTTTCCAGGGAAGGTGAAGACGGGTCTATCATTTGTGGCAACCAGATATTGCTTCGCAAGCCGTTCCTATAAATCAGGTCCTTTTTCGAGCGAACACGACTTATACCATTCCGCAAGCCTGGGTCAAACCTAGGTCACGTCATGTACCTTTAAATTTGGCAAGCGAACATGCTTGCACTCCACCATCATGAGGACAATAGTGACGGATCAACCAGAGCCGAACTACACAACAGAGAAGTGTTTTGAGGCGATTATAATCATTTAGTGATCATCATTTAGGTAAAAGGAGCTTGACAGCTTGACAGTTCCACGCAGAGCAAGATTACTGCCAGTTCTACACGACCTCGCGAACCCCAGTACACGCAAGGTAAAATACATAGCTCTCTAAAGGCTGAGAAAGTTTACGGAAGTACATTATAGAGGACTGCGAAAACACCTAACTAAAAGTAAACCTGTATTTTGAAAGCGATTTATGTCGATTTTGATTAGATTCAATGGTGCATGGCATATTCCTGTTGTTAATTCGCTAAACTCATAATCAGAAGTACTCGTTACCTGCGGACTACGACTACCTCAGTTAGTGGAATGCTTTAATGACGTGTGGTTTAGACCCAAGGCCATCGAGATGATCCAACGTATTGAGGACTGGTTCGATCGTGAGGACATCATAGGATATGTTGTATTGCTTTATTGAGCTCCTACAAAGGTCCACGGCCGTACATATCGCATCACAATGAACACAACTCTGAAAGTCTCCAAGTCGCTTATAGAATCTCTCGAGTGTGTCGGTTGTCTACAAAAGGGAAACTTCGTTCTACTAGATTCATATTATCACCGTTTTTGTAAAATTTTAGTAGCCGCATCGTTTTCTTGTCCTAGAAAAATTTGGTGCATTATCCCGGTGAAGGCGTTGTTCAAATTCGAAAACCATCTTCATGCTCGAAGCACATGAGTCCTCCTAGTATGTTGGGTACCTTCTGTTCACTGCCAAGAATGAATGCCAAGTAGAGGAATAAATGGCGGCCGCTTATACGAATCGATATGTCCTACGTTTCCATCGGCCATTCAATTAGATTATCTGAGAGTTGAATGTGATTTATGAAACGTTACTCTTGTCCCATACGCTCGCCAAAAATCATCATAAGGCATGCTCGACTTAAGCATTGTGCACTAACAGCATCGGCAATCGCTGAGTGTATTGAATCAGCTTTTTTTTTTTTATGAGCGCCCGAACAACTTTTATACGTTTTTTTCAGAAGAAGACTGCTCGTAGTCTCAACGAACACCAGCCGCCGACGGTAGTTCGCACCTGCTTAGACAGAAAATGCTTTTGTGCTTTGCCGTAACTACTACGGCAACCGGTCAAAATGTCTGCTAACGCTGAATGCGATGTAAATATAGTTCGACACGAGACGTGTGCTTTATCTGTGTACTGAAGCACCCGCAGCAATTCAAATTCAATTTTACCATAAACGTGCAAGCATTTTGGCGAATAAAAATGAAAAAAGAACTATGTCAAATTACAGCGTAATGTTATGGTCAACGTACCGTCACGTCTGTGCTCTGCACAGAAGCCTTTGTCATAGGAGTAGTCCCTTATTAATTTGGAAATAGCCCACGGCACAGTAGTTCTATTGTTTGAAGTGCGACAGAGCCGGGGTAGTCGAGGTGTGCTGATACTTTTGTTACATTTTCAAGCCAGTTCCTTGCCTATTTTTACTAGATGCAATCATTCTAAACATTCTTCCAACAACGCCGAAGAAAATATAAGGCTATCTCGTAGTACACAGCTTTCATGTCTTTGATGCCATGAAAACCATCTGTCGTTGCAAGTGTAGGTCATCATCATGTATAATGAGTCACATACGAAAAATAGGTTGACATTAAGCATATAGTAGTAAAACAGAGAGCGTGTAAGTGACACGTACGTAGGGCGGCTAGTTTTCAACGATAAAACGTTTCCCTCTGAAACTAAAACAGTCAGAAGGGGCTGGCTATATTCGTTCTGTATATCCGAAACAACCCTTTCATCTACAAAACGTATTTGCGAACAACAGGTTAGATGAGGATAATTACCATGTCCAGCCTTAACGCTAGCTTCTGTACCATGCATGTTTATGAAATACAGGTAGAGTACATTGGATTAAATAAATTATAGTCAATATATAGCAATCTTACGCATTAGTTTAATAAAGATGGCAGATTGTGGTGAGTAAGTTTACGACGGTAGTCAACCGCACTTGCGTATACATAACTTTCCTATTTAGAACTCCGTAAAGGTAGCTGTAGCTGATAGGATGATTTGCTTTCCAAATGACAACACCTTTTACAGATTAGTAGTACGACCTATAGCTTATTTATTTCGTCTTAATCTCGTGTTGTAGGTCCTTTTTTGTTTAGTTGTCGTATGTATATGGTTCGCTTTCTTCCTCTCTTTGTCCTTACTGTTTATAGTACAAGGTATCCCACAGTAGTACGTAACTTTACAATCGCTGGATGCTGTTGTTTGGTAGTTGCTGATGTCAATGACGTCTTTACCTAACCATAAGAGCGTTTTGTTGTATCGTTTACTAAACTGCTGTTTTCAAATGAACACAATGCGATTTCATGGGACAGCCCACATTCGAACTAAGCTTACGGCCGCGCCAGCAGCAGACTTAACAACAATTCATTGATATTTACTCCTGTTGTCGATCTGTTTTTGTTGTCGTTGCTATAGGGCGTCTCTACAAGGGCCATGCCAACTATTGCCCCTACAAAAGCTAAATCCATGTCAAATGTAGGGCTGAGTACTGTTTTCCTGATGGGTCTCCTGTGTGTATGTTTTGGGCATCTAATTACAGTGATCACTCCCGATACCATTGAATTGGTTTTGTCTTTTCAGATACACTCAATATATGAGAATTACTTTTCATACAATCCTCAATCCTCCCTATTCTCACAAAGCAAGTAGAAGCAGGCTATAATTGCCGTCGTTGAAGGTTGCTACCCTTATTTTCTTCTCATCTACATTGTAGTAGTCGATGTTGTAACGCACTGTTTATTAGTGCGCCAACGGTAACAGCTGTACAGTCGCGTTTCATTTGATACACCGATCGAAACGACCTCTTTATTCGAAAGATCAGGGCTTACATGAGGGGTTACATGAGGAACATCAGTCAAATGAAATTTTTACGCGTCTCCCCAACGTGTCATTTGTTTTAGGTGCTCATCGTATAAATATCTGGTTATCGTTTTGCATGGATGCGCGTCTATACATATGTACTCGTTCATGTTTATGTAATTAAATTGTATTCATGTATGTCTGTGTCTGTTGATCTGTCCGAATATGTCCAGATAGCAATGTAGTTTTTAGCAACCGTTATCCTTTGATGACGATAGTCGTGTCGATCTTGTTTGCATTTGATGGCGCGTTAACCCTGCGCAGCCTATCCATTGAAAAACAAGGGCTCACCCTCTTCCCCTCCTTTGCGTCCCACGTAAGTGCTTCTAACAAGAGACAGGCATTCGGCCATAATTTACATTAAACATGGATCATTATTATTCATAGAGCGAAATCAATTCGTGAATTTGACGGGTATGATTCGTGCTTGTCCATTTGCATGATCGACAGCGTTGGCAACATGACGGGAGCAGCTCGAAACCCATTTGTAAAACTACCCCAGCTCATTTTGTTTGTCTGTCTGCCTTCTACACTCTGCTTTAAACATAATAGATTTTTTAGAAATCGACAACAGCTGAACGGTTGAAAGGGTCCGACATTTTGCATTCCCGCTGTCTTTCTTCGACCGTGGCTACTCCCTAAGTAAATTGAGCTTACGTACAATCAGCGATCTCATTGCTGTTCGCTGTATAAGGTCTCACTTTTCGAGTTCCTGTATTGCAATAGGGGTCGCTTCGTTTATTACTGTTATGGTAGCCATATGGGTTATATTATTTGTGTCGCTGAAACTTCGTTTGACTTGCTATCTTTTCTACGCGTGTTCTTGTCCGGTCCTGGTAATTACATAATAAGGTTCTTTCAGTTGTCGTCAAGGCAGGAGTCGTTTCTGTGATCGCCAACACCGTCATCGCTAAGCGAAGATTGCATGTCTTCCTCATTCATATTGTCACCGAATTTTTATAAGCTTTTTTATTGTCATATGTCTGTGGGTCGTGAGGTGTGTACCTCTATACAAAGAGAAGTCAGTTGCTTTGCATTTTGCCGGTTCAGAAAATCGGTGCCTTATAGCAATTTGCGGTGTTCTCTATAATTGCTTTGTTACTTCTGATCAAAATTTGGTTTCGCTTGAACCACGCGACCCCGCAATAATGGCGTCCAATATGGCGGCTGTACACAGACATTAAGAATGACTACAGTGGGACGAACTTGTCGCTTGCCGGTCGTCTCAACGTTTCAAAACTCAAGGGAAATTTACGTATAGTCTCTATTGTTTTCGCCTTATGGTTGGTATATACGCGATTAGTTCATAGTTCTAGCATCGGTCTCTACTTGTGTGTCTGTATTTCATTCGCGCTTTCTAACCAATATATCAATACCATCTCATCATACACAGCAATGATCATCTATAGGCCTGATCCATTCATTACCCACACTTTGCTTCGCTCTTGTCAATCCATGCGTGTATGTATATATATATATATGAGACAATAACGGCATATTATCCATTGTTATGGAGCATATGCCAGCAACGTTCGTAGTAATAAACCGTAGCAATCAGCTTCGGAGTCTTGTTATTCCGATCAGGAAGTGGGGGGAGTAGAACAAAAATAGTAAGATTTGTTCCTTGGAATTTCCAGCAACAGTTGTAATATTCGTAATAGTAGCATTACTATTCACGCAATTTTAGTTTTTCATTTTTGCCATCTTCCCCCACTTCTACCGCTTACCCCCTACGACAGTTAGGGCTCGATTCGGTGCCTACATAATCATAATGTGTTGTCTACTTTTGTCCCCCCATTTCGTTAGCCACTTGCAAGAAGTCCCCGCTCCCCGGCCGAGCCCTTCAAAGCTATCTACTTCTCTCCCCACTCATTTGTAGATGCAAGACGCGACTCTCCGTGTTTGCATGGCAGGAAGCAGCACTGTCCTTTAATGGCAATATACCTCACCTACTAATGTACATTTTGGATCGTTTTTCGGTCACTTTTGCGCAATCGTTGTTATTGTATTGTTTCCGCTGCTGTTTACGGCTGTGCTGTTGTGCGCCGTTGGCCGATCAAATATACACTGATGTTGCTATGGTTACATTGTTTTCATTCATCGTCCGATGTGTGACACCTTTCGAATGCGTGGTGATCGGGTCCGTCGCCACGACGACTTCACTGTACAGACATATGTATATATAATAATATGTGATGCTATAAAGGTAAATAAGCTATCTCGTTTATTGTTGCTGCTGTTGATAGTGTCACCTTGACGACGACAATCTGGTCGATCGCAAGAGGCGGCTGCTGCTGGGATTACTCATATCATAAAAAAAAGTAGCCAGATCGTTGGCCATCACCGCGGGGCCCAGCATCACAATCGTCTGCTAGATACAGCACTTACTATTAAAGCCTAGGCTAAACGCAGGAAAAGGCAGGGTGAAACGTGTTGAAAGCGTTCATGAGAGTCATTGTAACAACCGCAAGGTTTGGGCGGCATTTTCTTGTTGTTGTTGCCGCCGCCGCCGCCGCTCGACTCTACGGGTTAGGCTTACATGAGGAAAGGTAAACAGTAGAACAATTTATAACACCAGCTGCCCAGAATGCATTTGTGGGCTAGGCCGTGTACAGCGTAAGATGGGTTTTGTATATACGGTCTGCAGTGTCTGTTTGAACTGCAACTGCGAACAGTCTGAACACGGAACAATCGCTTAATCGACCGGAAGCAAAGTGGGTTAACAGTACACGTCAATAATATCAACCTGTACGCTAACGTATTTTACCGAGCGCAAACGTTGGAAAACAACAAAAAAAAGCAGACGGACTAGTAACCCACTTATGAACCGGACGCAATCATCTTCTGTAGCTGAGGGAACACGGAAAGGTAATTAGTTGTTAAACTACTATAATACTATAACTTCCTCAGACTTAACAACCAATCAAACAAAACGATCAGGTCAGTCACTTAATTATCGATGGTTGGTTGGTTGGTTGATTGATTGTTAGCCGTCAAAGACAACCTTTCCTCTGTCCGCTGCTACCAACGGCGTATTTAACCAATGATTAGTCGACTAGGCAGTGGTGAATACACAACGTTAGTCGACAAAAAAACTATTATATCATTTTCGGTATAGTGAGCGTATATTATATATTATCAGTGGCCATGATGTATTCATTTTCTCAGTTGGATTGATTATTAGCTTTGCTTGGCTCATCTGTTTCTTTACTGATAATTTTACTAATGACTGTTTCGCAGGATGGAAAATTGACCATCGACGGCCTTCGGTAGTTGATGATGGAGTGATAGCAAGCAGTGACCATCTGGTACCAGAGCCGCTCGTCCGCACCGCCCGCAGTTCATCCCACAAGAAGCGACCCGGACACGCTCCCTAGGCCTGCAAACAGCAACAACACGTCGAATAAATCACATTTGACATGTGGTACCACAAATGGTAAAAGAGATGGAAGAGCGTCGGTGTGAAACTTACAGGTTAATCGACATCGCATATTTGTATACGTAAAAAAAAAGGACGATTCGGTCAAAATAAGAGCTTCAGTAGTGTCGTCGTAATGCTAACCAATTATAGCTCAAGGAACAAGCAGGAAAAAAAAAAGTTAAAAACAACTTATAACTTCGATATGTACACTTCACTCTATCTAAGGCAAATAAGCTGCCTGCGCTCATGTTATTGCAGGGCTGTACTCCTGTTGCAGCAGTAGGTGTCGCTAATTTCGTCGCGTAACATCCACAGGCTATGTATGCGTGTTCCTGTGATGTGTTTGTCTTTATGCTGTTGGGATCAGTGTTTAAACCAAACGAAAAAAGCCATTACGCAAGTTGAACAAACGAAACTTGAACAGCGAAATGTAAAACAATATTATGATGATAACACTGATGAAACACAAGGCATCAGTATACAAGTCAAGCAATGATCGCAACCGGAAAACCAAGGTGGCGCCAATCAGATAGGGCCGAAAACAAAATTCAATGGTAATGGTACATGTAGAGACTGCGGGCTATAGTATGTTTGCCTTACAGGCGACGCCTGCTCGTTCTCATGCTCGGAAAGCTTCGGATAAAGCGAATAGGTTGAATGGCCACCGTGAAGAACTCTGGGACTGAGTCCGGAGCACTGTCCAGACATGCAACTGATTTCTGCAATGTTCCTGCTACCACTGCAAACACGCCCTCAAGAAATGCGTCGAGCCTTTGTCGTACGGTCCTTATAGTTATTTCTTCTTGGTCCTGAATCGTTTGCTGAATGAGACCACCTAATAACGGCAAATTGTGCGACGTACGAGTAAGCATTGACCCAGGTCGGGAGGCTCGATAAAGCTATTATTTTATGGTATTTAGGCGCATTTCAGATACAATTAGTATGTAAACGAAAATGTTCTTGGAGATTGACGTTGTCCTCGTATAGTCGACAGTCATTAAACAGACTAAAATAATTTCGCTGAATAAAGCAATTTCGTTAAAGCCTAAGAACATAAGCTCTCTAGCAACTAGTCTTTGAAAGTAAGACACGTGCCTATACATGGGAAGCATAGAACAACTCAAATATTGCAAGTCCATGAGTATGGGGGCAAAATGGGGCGTCCAGGAAGTCAGAATCTGCTGGTAACTGAAGCTGGCGGCGAACCGTGCAAAACGGTGCCACCAAGAATGATTTTTTTGCGGTCGTTTTAAAAAGGACTTGCCCTGACCACCGTTGACGCATCTTTTTTAGTGCGTAGACAAATGAGCTGGTTGGTAGGTGACAGAGAGGAAGAAATCTCAATGATAAAAAGGTCGCAGGATAGGAACACAGGCAGCCAGCGAGAAATCTGATGACAGTGTTTACTGTAAGCATGGAGCTTTGGAGGAATCACAAATGATGGAGCTAGTGCGAACCAGGAATAGACAAGGGCATTCATAGGACGAGAAGCTACTACAAGTATACACATTTTGTATATATATAAATGTATATCAGTTTCGTTAAGCGGTGCCTGACATTAGCTGATGATTAAATAAAGGCCTAGTTTTTATTGAATCATTGAGGCACCCCAGCATTAAGGTGGTGCAACAATCATGGCGCGCATAAGATTAATAGTAAATGAGGTGGTTAACAGTGAGGTATTTTCCCTTCCTATCACATGGAAAATGGAATATAGTATGTGATTGTAAAACACAGTGTGATCTTATTCTGACTGGAGGTGAATGCTGGTGCTGTTATCAGTCGAGGTCGTTGTTGCTGTTGTGAAGGGTGAGTTGGCTGATTGTTTAGAAAATGATAATGGTTTGAATTGATTGTTGATGCTTAATTGAATTAATTGTTGTTCTTTAATTGAATTAATGCTATTGACTGTTTGTCTAGGAGAAGGATTTGTTGCAGTCGAGTGGACGCCATAGTTTGTCCGCCGTATTGTGACTTAGGCCACCTACGCTATCAGATGAATCCGAGAACGATTCCGAGTCGTCCTTGTCCGAGCCTGTCTTCTGTGACGAGCCCTGCGGCGACTGGGGCGAGGTTTGCTGGACATTCAGCTGAGGCACCAGGGTTACCGGAGGAATAATAGGGGCTACAGGGGTCCCTGACCCGAGTCCTCCAGGAGCTGTGCCGGCTAACGTCGAGGCACTGACGGAGGCGCTAGGCTGTGAACCTACTCCACCAAGCACGCTGCTGCCTAGTGAAGGAACCGCAGCACTGCCCCCGATGGAAGCTGCCCCAAGCGAACCGCTACCTAATGTAGGCGCACCACCAGGGAAATTCACCCATGGATTACACTGCATTTCAATTAGGCCATCGCTGAACTTGCTGCGCTTGTTCGGCTTGCCGTGCTTCTCTTTCGTCTCTGCGTTTACTGGTAGCAGGTCCTTTGCAGTCAGCTTGGCCTGTTCGTGTGTGCCAAAGAAGAAAATTTGATAGCGAGTTCTGAAACAAAATAAAAGTGATAAAAAAAAATAAATAAAAATGATAGATAAACAGATTACATCATAAGTAAACAAATAGCTGTACGATTGTTTCATTGTGAGCGGCTGGAAGCACGCGATGACCAGAATATCTATCAAACACCTATTGCTGGACGTTCGTCGCACCACAATATATAAACGCCATAATCAACTTAGCCGCTATGGCTGAGGGGCAAGCATATAATGATCGCTGAACAGCATGAAATGTTTGACGTTTCAGCAGCCAAACCTCGATTGCAGAAAATTGGCACCGAATAATTTCTCTTTTAGTGGCTTCGTTTATCCTATCGCATTGTATACTCACGGTTTGGTGCCCGCCACGACGGAGTCAACCCGTGCGGGCCAGAACGGGTAGCCTTTCACCTTGGCGAACACCATTTGACGGGGCTCGAATTCCGCTTGTGTCGAACCACGCTTCCCTGCGCCTTGTGAACCTGTCGAACGACCGCCAGCACCGACCTTAGCGGGACGAGGCTCAGCCTCCGCAGGGCTTGGGGCCTCTGAAGCCGAATCATCAGCAGACCTAAAAGTAAACGTATCAAAGGTAGCAGAGAAACAACGAACAAGGCCACACATGCTTCAACATAGTATAACGGTTTGAGAAACTTGGTTGGTAAAAATACTCATTGCTGTATTGTATGCGTTAATAAGAGAAGGAGGACAGTTATTTGTAAGGTCGCACTTCCTCGATTGAAAAATCAACGTGATTGCAAACGAATCGAGTGTACTAACTAACCTTGATTCGGAAGTAGTGGTCTCCTTGCGTTGGCTCGCGCTATTCCGCCTTTGAGGTGCAGGTGGTTCGAGGTATCGTTCGGGCGCCTTTTTTGGTGGGGAAAGTTTGCGTTTTTTGATGGGCGATGAAAATGATTCAAGCTCTCGAGATTCGGAGTGCTCGGATTTGTCACCACGGCCTTTGCTATCTTTATCTCGGTCGATTCCGAACGGTTTCAGCAAAGGCAATGCCCCACTGGGTTCGGTTGATAACGGTGGCACGTCTCGAGGTGGTTCCTATAACAGCGTAAGAGTACAAATCATGCAAATGATATGAGCTTAATAAGAAACGTTCCTAATAGAGGCCATGCTCCGACGCTGCTCGTTTTATTCAACTTACTGTACTGAGGACAGCAAAACCGTTTAGGGAACCGCAACTAAGTAATTTTCAAAATGGGTGTATTTTTCTAGTTTCCTCCAGTATAACTATTAAACTTTACGCTAATCTATTTACTTGGCAAATGTTTAATAACATGCTACGATATTCTTTGGGCTAAAACTTCTTATGGATTAGCTTTATTCCAGATAACAAAGGAACGACCTCGTCGCTTGTTTCGATCGAGTAATGCTACCCCTGCGAGAGTTTGAATATCTGCTGCTGCTCCTCTTATTCGAAACGCGATACAGGACAAATTCTCATCCTGAGCCGATCTGAGCATGAGCCTTGAAGTTAGCTATATCGTAAATGTATCGGACAAGTTTAATTTGTGGCGTTTTATTACTCCATGTTGCACTTGTAACCGTCTGTAGGCATTAAGAAGCCATTTTGCAAATATGCCTTTACTATTACTCCTTGAGAATGTTTTGTCATAAAAGCTTAAATAACAGTATAAATATAGAAAAACGATACGTATATAATGGATTACAATTTCAAGGGAAGCAGCTACGGTCGTTAATTCTTCTTGTTGGTAATTATTCGTAATGGTTGTTACCGACAATATGCTTAACTAATAACCATCGTCTATCACTAGCACAGGCCTAAGATCAGATTCACACATACGTCCTTGCTTAATTGGTCAATAATATCCTGATTAAGTCTCTGCAAAACAACGATCGGCATATTCTTGTCAAGATCGTCGATTCCACACGTTCGAACAAAGTGTTCACACCAGTTCTCGCCGAGTACTATGGCACTGTCCACAAGCTCTTTTGTGATACGACAACGTATCCGGCCGTTAAGGTCACCCCAAAACATTCGTAACCAGAGCGTATTCGAACACTTCATACAGTATTGGTAACCGAAGAGGTCAAGAAGCCAGGACGCAACCAGGTGTTCGGGCGAGTTCCGTTCCACGAACACCTTAACGAATCGGCCCCGCATCTCACCCACCATTTCCGGCACTGATCGGTCAGGCTGGCAGAGCAGTGCTTTCGGTTGCAGGACGTTGCCCAGTAGGCGCAACTCCAGCGGAGCACTTAAAGGATCGGCTCCCATTACGCACGGCACTCTGACTAGAAACGTCGACATCAACAAGTAAAGCCAGCTTTCAAAAGCAATCTGATGCGATTACTCGCAGACATACAACTCTATCACCATTATGTACTGAGCAAACAAAGCACGTACATAAGCAGACAGGATATTATAGGTGAGTCCAGACACACAGATTTTCTATTACTGGCTAGCTACTTTTTTTTTACACAGTTTGCAGAACGTATACGTAGCACGATTGAACTGGATTAACATCATGCAGCGTCGCACGACATTTGCATTTTGTGCATCAATTTTGAACGTATCCACGTCTGTTCAAGTCTGCGCTCAATTCAACCGATTCGTACTAGCATTACAATAGTGCAGGCTTCCCGATTAGTCTTATGGGACCCGACTAGTTGCAAATCAGCACACATACGCAGGTAGTCAACATCCGAGAATTCTCGGAAGCATAGTCGTCGGATTTACCCGGTTTCACACACACACCGCCAGAGGGCACGAAGCGCCAGAGCGCCGCCAGCAAGATAGAAAGCAAAAAAAAAAAAGGAAGGGAGAAAGCTGAATTGTGAATGTTTGCGCATAAGTAGCTGCGCCATTAACAGCATCAGCGGCCTCAAAGATATCGACCCCGAAGTCGGTAACATACAGAAAGTAGGTAGGTAAATTAGGTGGGGTGGGGCGGGGTGAACAGCGGCAGGAATGAACAGCGAACAGGGAGGAGCCTCGCGTCTGTATGCACTGCACCAAAGGAGGCTAGCCCAAGCCGCTAGTGAAAGCTAGTTGTACTTAGTAGGATTAAACTGAGAATAAGGGGAACGTCGAGAAGACGCCGTCAACAGCCGGCATGCTGTGAGCTAGAGTATAGCAAAAATAAACTTGAAGAAATTCGCTGGCCAGCTCCGCTGCAGTCAACCACGGCCGGTAATTCAAGCGTCCGCTAGTTGTGCCGAACACGCTGTTGTCGACCCAACGAGCTTCAAGGAGCTAAGCTGTTGATAATTAACCAGCTCGTGACCAAACACTAATTCGCTAGCACTAGTTATTGAATTGTAAAAGGTTATTTGGAGTGATTTTCGGTAGCATTGTTTATGAGCCCAACTTAATATCGTCTTTCGTCTTTTCTAGTAGGGAAAGCTATGAGTAGGAACGAGTTTCATCCAAAGCACTGCATATAATTCTATTTATTCATGTGATACGTTGATGGCCGTGGTTACATAGCAATAGATCAGCGAGATAGGTATTTTCAGCAGCTTCTGACAAGAAGTACAGAATATATTTTGTTACTGCAAAGCCTGTGTTGAGGACTGTGAGCTCGTACGCTTTCTTCATGGAATATACTAGTCTTCTCTTTCTGACCTTTTCAGGCAGCTATTTGAAAGAAGTTGAGCCTTAGGAGTTAAATCGATCCCGTGACAACGGAACCAAATGTTCACCAGCTGCTAATCATTCTTCCAGCAAGTCAATAAAGAACTTCTGCGACAGTAGTAATTTGTTGTTGCTCCTTTCAGCCATAATTAAGTTATGTGGTGCCACTTATACTAAAAGACAAAGCTCATTTTTGTCGAGTTCGTAGGTTAATAAAGCCTACTCAAATAGCAATAAAGCACTTGGCCAAGCTAATCACTATACTCAATAATTAACTTGGTGGTGCCATTCACAGGTCCAACTAAACTTACTGTGAACCTGTATAGGAGGCTTTTGTTATAGCAGTAGTAGAAAGGATAGAACCTCGGACACCCAAAAAGTGAGACCCGAATCCAACGGCTAGACTTCGTAACTAATTTGAATAAAATTCATTCTTACTAGTACTTTATAAAGCTGTTTATATAAATGTACTGATATCAATGCACAACATATTACAGTATTCACCTTCTCCTTTCCGTAGACCCTTGTGAGGATACTGGCCCTGAACGGTTTCATACGTTGCAAAAAAAAATCGCCACTTCTCAACAAGGCACACTAGCTGAGAGATTTAGTTAGCAATACAATTCTTCTTGGGCTCAGAGTTGTCCTTGCGCAATTCCAGCTGCCACATATAGTGCAATTCGCATGGGAAGTTGTGACTTATGAGGAAACAACTTAAGCAAAAAAAGAAACAACGACTATTGTCTATTCTGCTACATACATGTAATATGACAGTTCAGTCTTTCTGTTTTTACTGACTGACTGTGTCATCCGTACTCTAATTATTAGCAAATTAGGCTATATTTATATTTATAACACTTCTGTATTCGTAGAAATCCACAGCATCAATAATCTAAAATTTGCTCTCTGTTATATTTACATAAACCACAACAATACAATGAATGAAACTAAAGAAATTACATGACTGATGCGATGATTTTTGCCTGACTACATTTTATATTTTACTCTCGTTTTAAGTGAATTTCCTTAATATCTCGCTATTTTTATAGCTGTATTCTACGGTAAACAATAATTTGTTAGTGCTAAGCCTGAGGCATGGTAATCAAACGAAGAACTCAAATTAGTGAGTTTTTTTCCGTATTCAGATAGCGGTCTTCATGCTGAGCAAGTAGCAGTTACTTACTCCACGGTATTGCTCTTAGACACGTAGAACTGCAACGGAGTGTGTCTTTGGAACAAATCAGTACGCTGAGTGGTATTTGCCGTCCAGGGCAAAACCACTATAGCCGACACGGATAATACTACCCGTATCTATCCAGATGAATACCCTAGCTACCATGAAGTCTAGATAATGACTATTTCAAACATGTAGACAAATGCCCACGAACCCGATTCGGACGCGGGAGATTTAAATCCATATGGCGAAGCCGATTCTTTAGTAATAGCGATTCCTTATTTAATAATCTCTTAACGTCCGAGTACTTACCCGTCGCTTAATAAGCGGTAAGCGTCCCATTTCTGCAGGAGACCGTTCACTATTCAGGTATTCGTAGACAACCGGCATTGATCGTTCAGCAGCTCTAGACATTCACCGAAAGCAACCACAAATGAACGCATCAAACAAGAGACAACACTAAGCTTTGACAGTGACCCACGGGTACATATTATACAATACTTGCACCTTGAATAGTACAAACGTTTTGCCATCCAGTTTTTTATTGTAGCTTCAGCATATAGAAGAGAAAAGTGTCTTTTTTGAACTAGTCTTACTAAAACAAGATGCATAATAAGGAAATCCAACATTTTGGTCAAATTAACGTGGCGATGCCTTAACCTTCGACTTCTTCTGACTGCTGAGTTTCTCAATGTAATTAAGCATGATGGTGCGTCGAATTGTGACATTCGTACAAAAAAAGCATTGACGGAGTCCATCAATATTAAAGAGCGATGTTCTAGACCGTTTAAAGGATCTTCCAGCCTTTGCTGCCCTACTCTCCATAGTACAACTTTTCGTTTTGTCAGTCCGTTGTATATGAAGGCAGATACTTTTTTTGAAAAACGACATTTTTTTTATGTCGTCATATTGGCTCGATAATAAAATAAATAGCAATAGTTGTAGACACAGCTAAACACAGTAAGCAATATTTTGTGATCACTGAATTCGAAATTATTCCTTCCATGCTAGAGCACCACGACGATGATGATAAGGAAACACCAAGTCAAAAAGAAGTGTAAATTTTGCGATCAGTTTGCGGCAGGCTCTTGGATGCGAAATTGTTTATACAGACATATACACTGCCAAAAAGAATTATTTCTCAGAATTAATAGATTACAATGGAATTGTTAATTATGCCATCTTGATCCGCTAAGAAAACGGTGAGTCTTATAAGCTTACATTGGCCCGCCTATAATTTGTTTCAGATAACTCTAAAAATGTTGAAGTGTTAAGTTATCGGCAAAAAGAGACCGTCAAAAGCTGACATCCAGATTAATCTCCAACATGAAGCAAAGTTCGTAACACATTTGGTAAGATGTTTGATATTTTTTGAATATGTCGTAACCTATCATGTGAAGTAATAATGGAAAAATGATAATTTTTCTATTTTTAAATTTCCATAAAGTAAATTCCATAAAATATCCGATCTTACTTACAGTTTCCTCGGATCCGTTGACTCATCTTGTGCCTCAAGAGGGACCTCTTTTGCTTCATGTTTAAGCTCCGATTTTAATCCTTTTAATCCGCCCCCACCAGTTGCGTTATCAGAACCTCTTGAATCGCGATCTCCTCGATGTCTATCAAGCTTATCAGAAGAGTCCGACTTATCTGAACGGTCATCCCTGTCCCTGATCTTCGGCTCCTTCCGTTTACGCTTTGATGAAGTGTCCACACCCTCGGGCGGTGGAGATCTTCTCTTAGGTGGATCACGGGGTGCCTTTGGTGGTAGCGGAGGTAACTGCAGATTGACAAATAGACAATTGCGTATTAAACGAATGGAAATACTAGTCATGCGTTGAATAGTTACTTCTTCACTGAGGGTGGGTTAGCTAGTCGCTTTGGGTAAAGCTGACATCTAGATTAACCTTCAACATGAAGCAAAGATCGTAACATATATGTTTGATGTAATAAAGCTATCAAAAATAAATGGTTTAAAAAAACAATTCAATTCACTGCAAAAAAAAATTTGAAACGCAAGAAATTTACTCTGGGGGTGAAGAATTGCTTTTTTAGTTGAATTTACATTTGATTTTTTTCATTATATTGCCTTTCCAAAATCTTCTGAGCAATTTTATATTTATGGGTATACATCCTATATAATTAAGTAACCAACAGGAGATCGAGGGCGATTTCTGTTAGCCTAGTTTTTTTTAAATCCTTGGTTTAGGTATAATGGTTATCTAAATCATTGTCTGCATAATATTTTAATCAGTTATTGATGCTAGGGACACCAAATAGTGGAACGTTTTATCGCAAGGGTTAGCACTGAGTTACTCTTCTCATACATTCAAGATTTTTTCAAATTTTGGACCCTCATAATATCAGGCTGTTACAAGCGAATCAAGCGAACTTAATTAAAATTGATTAACTTGTTGCGCCACTAGCAGGTGAAATGTGGCTGATAAACACTATAGCCTTTTACAGCTTGTGAAGCTCGGTACAGTTTGTTCCAGGAGAAGTCTTGTTTTCTTCCTTTTATCTTTCCTTCAGTTTTGAAAATCAACGCTCAGTGGTGAAATTTTTGTAGCTCAAAGGCCATACCGCTGCAAAAATTTAACGAAGATTGGTGAAATCTTTAGGCGAAGAGAGCTCAAGCGAAAGTAGAGTGATGGTGCCAACGCTGCAAGAACAGAGATTGGAGTGTTGAAGATCAGGGAGGACGCCGAAACCCGTATGACATTTCGGTAACCGAAAAGGCTTTTCATAATAACAGAGCTTAGATCTTTAAGACTATCTGTTAAAACTGACATTGCACAAATGAGAATTGTAACACAAATATTGAAACTGTCGAACTTAAGTAAAAAATGAGTCCGAAACAATTGAAAAGTCGTGTGATACATTCTGCGTGCAACATTCAAGTGTTTAAATAACACAAAACCTTCTTACACTCGCTATAGCTATAGGTGATTCAATCTCGATCGCCAGCCGTAAAGGGACCAATCGAAGGAATAGCGTAGCCATGGGGAAAAATTAATTTACGTAGCTGTGTTAGGTAGGTTCGGACGTGAGGTAACGGTAACACTTGCAATGGGTGTCAGAGGTATCGGCTGCTATGAAATATTCCCAGATAATGAAAAGGGCTTCACTCCTCCTATCCTTCTAATATAAATTTGTATGACTATCGGGATTACAATGACCTAGAAAGAGCCGCTGGTGAGTAAGCATATCCCACTATCAATTTACTTCGAGAAGCCATTAATAGAAAAATTACATATGGGAACGCGAATGGTAGATATGTGAGTATTCAGGGGACGTCAGAGCGCTGGCACGAAAGTGTAAAAAATAAAAGGGAGTACCTCTAACGCGTATTAAAAAGTCATTATTCTAATCCAACAGGTTCAGGTGTTGTTGAATTCCAAAGTCTACTGAATTCGCTTGTAACAGCCTTACATTTCTAGTTAACTTCGCTTATTATCACAGAGATGCTTCCATTATGATTATTCCCCTAATCGTTTTCAAATAACAATGTTTCTTCGTTTCAACGTATATCTAGTATACAACAATAATACAAAGATTCTGCCAGTGTAGGTAATGCTTTATCTTACAACACTAGTTCCTGCATGCAATAAACCTTGCTTTATCCAAAAAAATTGTACGGCAATTTACCGATTCCGGAAGCTTTCGTTTACGTTGTGTATGCGACTTAGACGTGGGTGTCTTCTTTGTTGTGGCTGCCGGAATGTTGAACACACAGTCCGCTTTATAGTTGGGGTTATTCTGGATCGTATCCATGGCTGGAATAGAAGCATATAATAAAAAAAAAAATCGTAAATTAGACCATTTATTACGTAGTTTCTTGTACAACATCGAATTCATTGAAGATTCTGCATTTTGATTTAAAACAATGGTACACGCTAGATCTTCCGGTGTAAATACCCTTGCTGAAAAGGTTCTACCTAGCATTGGAGATTTTTTGCAAATAGAATGTAAAAGTTGTTTCGAAATCAGCAACATGTTAACTTGCTGCTCTATTTATTATACTTATAAATAAAGAGTACTATTTCCCTTACTATAGTTTCGCTCATGCTGCCTCTCTTAAATCCGAACAGAAGCATAGTTTATTCTAGGCGAGATCAACGTATAGCACATTACGAGTCACTTCTGAAAGTGTCATGTGGAAGGCAGGTCTTTTTTTAATCAGGGCACACCTCGTGTCCAACATAAAGCCTCATAGAAGCTATTTTGGGAAAAATTTCATAGAAATTTTTCAATATTTTTTTTTTCTCCATTTCATAGCCCGGTCATTACGGCCACCGCTGCTTAACTATTCTTTGCAAGTTCTATATTCTAAAGATAATATGTTTCCTGCATGTAAAACAATGCTCTTTGGGCAAAGCAATGCTCTCAAAACAAACACTTATAGATCACAACAATAATTTCAGTTATTTCAGGAACAGCAACAAACCTTCGGCGAAGAACTTTCGTTTAACATGTCCATATTTCTTTTTTGTTTCGTCATTGAATGGCCGCAGATTGCTCACGTTCAAAGCTGTCGTTTCGTGTGTGCCGAAGAAGTAGACATAATAGGTGCCTTCCACTTTACTCTCGACCCTCGCTGGCCAGTACGGAAAGTTCTTAAGTTTGGCAAATACCAACGACCCCGCCTGTAACAACACGTACCAACAGAACAGAATAGAAAACACAAATCTTAAAACGTTTTTTCGGCAATTGTATCTAGGTCCTACGTGGTCATTCAGTTATGATGTGACCAAACGCGAAAACACATTCTAGATATCTTCACAGCTAAGAGGAGTACGCACCTCGCTGTAATATAGCCATGTTACGCGCGCGTGCCTTTCATGTGAATTAATTTTTTTATAACGAATTATACTCGCGGTCATACTAACTCTATATAAATACCCCGGCCTTGTAAAAAGGTCAGATTTTATATGCAAGATTCAGAAATGCCCTACAGGGATCAGATTATTGATAATTATGCTTGATCTGCCGAATAGCTCTTCCATACATTTTTAACAGCAAGGTAACACCAAAAACGTATATAAAATATTTAATATAAGATACACGTGGGCGTGCATTGCGTCTTTTACCTCAATTCTTTGTATAATACTTTTACGCAAAACAAAAATGCAAATAATAACAATGTATTTATTACTGAGATGACACCACATGTGCAGAGTCTTTGGCTTGCATTCTGAAATGAAATAAAATCTATATTTAGATAAACTGTGAATCACAGAAGCTTCAACGCGCAGCGAGCAGAAAATGGGAAAGTCAAAGAATACACATAAAAACAGAAAAAACAGCGCCCATCGAGGAATCTTTTAACGTTTTCAGAACTTTTCAATCTGTAATTCTGATTGAGAAGACTGTCATGCGTAGATGAAAACTGGTAGAAATGAAATCTACGAGTTGTTCAAATAGTAATATAATTCCGTATGACTAGACCGTGTGAACAACCATACGAGCAAACTATTTTATCAAGCATGAACAGAAATTACGTATAACATCACGTACTTAATAAAGGTTCACTCGAAGGTTGCTTTACATTGGAAAGACGTTTTGCGCTTCTAGTTGAACAACCTAAAGAGTCGAGTGACCTCGAATTTTTACATCTTCTATTTATGTTTTATTTAAATTATCAATAATCCACTAGTTTTCGTATTTAAGATACTCGTATTTTTAAGGATTACCAACAAAATCTCGACAGATGTCGTATACCGGAAAATATCTTTGAGAGTATCTGAAGCTTCTACTTTTTTGAAAATTTCAGATTTTATTGGATCTAATTAAAACCGTTACAATGTGGTTGCCTAGCAGTAATGACAATAAAAACAGATTTAGTTGCAACGTTCGTGGCCTGTTGGTTAGGTACAGGAGAAACTATGAAATGCATCAACACATGTGCCTTTCATGTGAACTTCACCGTTCTCCAAAGGAGCTGAATCATTCGGTATGGACGTCCGTTACGCTAACGTTACGACGTTGCTATTATGCTTGCATTATTTAGAAAAAACGTGTACTGTTAATTCAGTCGGGCGGTGCGGTGGATCAGTAAGAGGAATAGCCTCTAAGGAACGCGCTCGAAATATTACGACACCGACGATGGATTTCGCAAACTGGTATATTTAGCCTATGCTCACATCAGGACACAGAAGAAGCCTCTTCATATGGCTTATCCATGGTTAAAAGCACAGAATATAGTGAGCATTCGCGGTAAAAAAAGAGTGATCGATAAAACCGCACGCAGCCTGCGAACGAGCTGTTCCATTGCATCGTTACGCAATGGTACGGCAGTAGCTCGGCATTAAAGGCGTTTGATTGAGTGGCGATTGCATCGAGATTTGGCGATGTCAGAGAGTAAGCCCTTCCACTCATTTGACCCTCCGAAGGAACTACTATATTCTATTCGTACTTTAATAGAAATCGCTCTTTTGACCTTTGTGATGCAGTACCGTCGTCTCGTCTAACACATTTAGCTCAAATCTAAAACGGCATCTGCAAAAAACGAATCCTTATAAAAAAAAAAAGTCGGATTAGGAGGAGTCATTAAGGTATAAGTGGATGAACACGATAGAAAAACATCGATCTATATATGTATGTATGTTGTTTAGCGCTATACAATTAAAACGGAAATAATGGGAATAGATTCACTAAACGTCTGTTGTTGTGTTTTCTTTTTCAAGCAGTTTAATTGACTAACCCACAGTCGAAGTGGAGGATACGCTTCCACATTCCCACGTGTAGTGAGCAAGTGAGAAATAATACCAATGGTATATTATTTTTCGCTCGCAAATAGTAATGTCCAATATTACGATAATCTACTAAAGCTTATCCTATGCAAACAAGGATGAATCCAAGCGTGTGTCTTTTTTGTTTAACGTCCGCCATTATTACAAAAAAGTAAACAAAACTTACTTACTGATACAGATGTTCGGACTTTTGCATACGAGAGGTGTTTAAAGTCGTCGCCAATTTAGCTGAATCAATGCAATTCTATTACTATATACGCAACAAAGATGGCTACAAGCATTGGAACTGTTGAAACAATAAAATTGTACGATGACTACGAGCGTTCGCAATATCAGTGAACACACCCGAAATAGATTTTTTTTTTTTTGACGAAATAAAAACGATAAAATCTGGCCAAAAACGCGCAACAAAGCGACACATCCTCAACGATAGAGGTTCATGTGTGCTACAAGAAATATGCATTTTCATTATTTCAACTTATCTATTACATAATAACAATACACTGACCGCGCTTTTGAAGGCAGGACGTGATCTCCCTGCTATTTTTTGAGTTCGCGCAGCATTTAGCTCGAATGTGTGTGTTATCTACCTTCATAAGCGGGTTAAATTCAAACGACCATCGACTGGTTTTTTGTCCCTTTCGGGGATCGTAACACCGATTGGTAGAAATAAGCCAAACAAAAACAACGAACTGCATTTTGTCCCGAATGTCGTAAACGGATTGAATTAGTTCAAACAAAACATGAAAATGTGCTGTTACTGTCTGACAAGGTTATGACCAATTCGTTTGCCGTTCGCCTACACAGACTCGTCTTTACTGCTCCTGCCTTCAACAACACCGACCAGCGTTATTTTCGCAGACAGAACCTGGTGGGGTAGAGCAAGATCAGCAGAAACGATTCAAGGGGCCTAGCGAAATGCGATCGGAATTTTTCCTGACTAGCCACATAAACTAAGGAGGCGTCCATGTCTATTTTTAGTTTTGTAAGATTAAGCGCCACTCCACGTCATGCGGCCACGGGGACATCGCGGCGGCAGACAGCAAGTAGCATCTGGATACGCTGCCGTCGCTCAAACTGCCACGATTGTAACAGAAGGCTGGCTAACACTCTAACTCTAAGTGGGTATCGTGGTTTTACTTCCATGATTACATTAGGAGCGCACGTGCGTTGAGGAAAACGGTACTAACCCACAGCAACAATATTTCGGTTCAAATATAGCCTTCATTTGAAAAAGGCCACCAATGAGCGCTTAAAACCAGCAGGTAATAGCATCGATCATGTTGGATTTGGTCCGATTCCAGAGGTGGATGTAGTGTAGTACATGTATCAAAACAAAAGGACGACAAGAGGTAATACGTGGTTGTGTCAGGACAGGAGCAACTCAACAGCTGTAAGCGCTATTTGTCACTGGAGTTAGCGTTCCTAGCATTTCCCACCAGTTAGCTAAACAGACGAGCAAGCACAGTTGGCGACAGAAAGCGCGAAAGCTCGATAGAGTAAGAGCATTTATTGGCGGCAAGGCAAAACACCAAAGAGTAGACTACGGTGCCGCGCCTATACATAATGTGTCTACCTCAACAGCATTTGCGTGTTCGGCCATGCCCAGCTGCGGCTGGCGATGCATTGCACCAGTTTCTCCACGGAACGATGGCCCTCCTCCATTGCTTCCTTAGCTGACGACTCTCACTCTTTTTCGTTTTTTCCCTTTGCCCTAAGCAGAGTCGAATGCGCTACCTCATGTTCCATCGACCAACCTCCCCTGTATCGGTCCACGGCTTCATCTTCTATAAGAACACATGCACCACTAGCGCACTAAATTGCTTGGAAATCTACAACGTTTATGTATGTAGAGAAGTTAATATAGATCTATATATTTGTATATAAGAACGCTGCAGCTGCTTTTGAGTGTGTATACTTGTCGCACAATGAATCACAGTACCCCATGACACTTCCCATCTCCCCGCACATCAGCCAAATCCTATACTGCTCGTACTCCTGGTAGTATTTGGGATTATATATCCACACCTATCATATCGTCTCACACAACCAGTGTAAGCAGCCAGCGAGCATCATCTCTTTCCACTGCTTACTGTTCATGTAAACAAACGTTGTTATCATCATGACTGGACGACAAACGGCTGTTGTGTCTACTTTACGGGGGTACCCGCGCGCGCGTGGAGGCCGGGTCCGATCTGCGATCTTTGCCGGCCGCCGACAGCGACCCACGCGTCCACCTGCAGCGAGAAATCCCCCCGGTTCCGGCGGCTTTGCCCACTGCGGGCTAAGGACCGAACAGATAATGGAATGGTGATAGAAGCAGGCAGGAACTTTTGAGCACCACAGACATGGATAGACACAGGGAGGGAGAGTGAACTGCAACAAGAACCACATATATACTGTGTCGTATCGCACCGCTGGAAGCTTATGGCGGTACCGCTTGACTGTCGGAAAAATGCACTGTAACCAAACACGGGTCAGCCGTTTCATTCGGTAGATTATCTGTTCGCTGACTGGCAGTGAGCTCCGGAGAAGACGCGGCACGTCGCAGTAGGAGTTGCTCACGAACTGATGCCGGGCCCGCGCATTCAGCGCTTTACCGCGGTCTCCTCTTCCCGCAGCCGCCGCCTTCCACAACCGCCGTTCGTTACAATACACAGATGTCAGTATCGTCGCATGATCGTACCTTGAAGTTCGTCTCGGATGCCTGGGCCATGATACCGGTAGCCTCGATCGGGTACGGGAGCCACACACGCTGCCCTCCCGGGGAGCGATCAACGGCCGCGGCGAAGTAAGTAACACCACTAGGACGAGTATGCCTCGAACAGCATACCAACAATGGCCGCCGCTCCTCTGACAGGCCCGACTTGTGCCCACTGTGTTTAGCTCAGGTGCTCACTCGGTTCCGAGCTTTTGGCGGAAAAGCAGCGCTGGAGCGCAGGACGCAGCAGCTGCGCCGCTCCTGACTCTCGACTTCCGATGTCACGGCTGACGGAACCGTTGTGGGTCGCGCCGGCGGGCGCTCAATTTAACGGTGGAAAGACGACAACGAAACAAAGTCGACAGAACAATATATTCGGATAGGGCCGATATTTGAATTTAATGTAAAATGAGATCTGTCTTTTTTGAGAATCATCTACCAAATGTAGGATCAAGGAATATAAATGTAATGTAAAAAAGCTAGATTTGAGCAACTCGTTCTTATATTGGTTAGGCACTCTTTTTTTTTTATAAGGGAGAAATAAACTGGGACAGATTTAGTTAGTAAACTTTGATATAATGAATTGCAAATCTCATAACAAAAGCATTGTTCTATTTGTATATTGTCGAATCCAGCGGTGCTAAAGTGACAGCAAAGTAGCACTGTCCCACCAAATTATTAAACGCTTGGCTTAGTGTGTTCGTAAACGTATGGAAATTGTGTGTCATACCTATGAGATTTTACAATGTAGATGATCTCACAACCATGATATGAGATTTTACAATGTAGATGATCTCACAACAATGATGTGTGGATAACTGCTATATTTTAATGAAAATTTGGTTTTAGCTACCTTTGTCCAAGCACGTTGATTTGCCTATTTTGTCTTAAAAAATAGGACTACTTGGATGTTCGACTCAGCAGAGTGTGTTATCACCAGTTTGTACTGTGAATGGCCCAAAAAACAATGTCTGATATACGAAAGAATAATCATGACTTCTAAGTCTATCTACGTCTCCACAGAGCAGCCTATTTTTCCATAGATCTGCATAGAAGCATGTACGTCCTTGTATCATATTATTTTTACTATGTACCTTTCTCTTTTGAGGTTTGACGAAAATATTTATATGCATCCGACTTTTATCTCAAAACAAACGCATCAGCGCGGAAGGGAAAGGGCGAGGGCGTTAAAAGGCTCCTAGCGGCAATTATTTGACGAGAGCAGACGACATTTTCGTTGTGTTGACCAGAGCGTAACAGTCAATCGTCCTACATTTGGATGTGAGAAATACACGTCTTTAGTCTGGAGAGAGTGTTTTTGCGCAGGCAATAGTGGTTTTCAAAAATTCGGTGTAGCACATTGCCGAGTGAACAAAGTTGCTTCTTCACGATGGACACCGAAGTTCTCGTTCTTCGTAAAAAGCCCGTCAAGGGTTCGCAGATGAGGAGTGCTCAGGTATCTTAACGAAAGCAACGGCAATTCTTCGACAGTAGCTCATTGCAATTTTGTGATGATGCTCTATTTCTACAAGTGACCATTACGGTCTTAAGGAAATCATCTCTAGCCACAGCAGCAAAAAGAACTCTTTTGGTGTCCCTATGTAAAACTATCGGCCAGTCGCTAGCAATTATCAAAGCATTGTCTGTCATCTGTTTAGATTTCGCAAAAGTTCTTTTTCATTTAAATAAAAATTGTTAGTCGGCGCAGTAGAGGATTCGACGGCATATCGCAGATTCTACTTTGTTTTTGGTGTAGTTAAGCCGCATCGATTATCACTTGTTTTGAGTAGATTTCTGGGCGGCCAATAGTGTAGAGAAGTGTACAAAAAAAATAAGTATTCTTTCCTGGCCTAGGCCCTAAAACATTTGAGAATATTGGCAATTTTTCTCCTCAAAATTGGTTTTTCACGAAGAATAGGTGACGAAAATTGTTATTAGTCAAATTTAAGCTTGTCGCTCGCGGTGAGCTACTACGTCTATGATCTTGGTAAAACGGATTTCAATGTACTTACTTTCTAGGAAATGTCTTTCTACTGTGGCACGAGAAAAACAAAAAACAAAGCTACATTTATCAATAAAAGATCGATATAAGCCAAAATGGGGAAAAATCATAACTGACTATTACATATTGTATTAACGTTTGCATGAATTTTATTGTTGCAGGCGATAAATCAGGCGCAAAGATCTGGAGCGGAGATTGAGACGACAAAAAAGTGTACAGAATCATCTCATTATTTCACTGTATACCTTTCGCCATTAATGTCGTCGTCGATTTAAAACAATGATGTTGAAGAGTATTGTTTTTTCAATTGCAGTTTTAGATCGAAATTGCCTCCGGGGTAAACTGTGTGGAACTGTTGCTTAGGACTATACCTTCTATTGAATTAAGTGTGTATCATATTCAAAATGAACATTGCAGATAAAATAGTTGATGGTTATTCAGCAGTAAATTGACTAGAAAGTTCGAAACGAATAGATTACTGGCCGGACCAACGAAAATTAATTTTGGAATAATACTTAGTACTTGGCTGACCTCTAATTGATAGAAAAGGCATCGTACCATTACAGGCCGGAGAAGCATTCCTTCGGCTGGCATACATTCTTCAAAGAGTGCACGTGCCAAACTATGGTAGTCTCATTAGGGTGGTCGTTTTTATCTGCACTTAATGCTCTCTATTACACGCTTAGCAACATCATTTCCTATAGTATTTTATCTCCGATGAGTCGGCGATTTGTTACGTTAATACAAAAGACCAGAAGATTTACAGATTACAGAGCTTTTACTTAAAAAAAAATATCATCTACATTTTATAGTTGACGCTACCGTTATGTCTACAAGAGCTCTGTTATTTTGTTCCTTTTTAATATATAGTTACTAATTGATTATTGGTTAGTTGATCGGTTGGTTCCTTTGACGCTCACAGTTAACGCAGGATCGAACAAACATCCGACGACAACGCTGAATTCGGCGAAGTTGGACCGAGAGGATGATGTCCTGAAACACAAAACGGTTGATCTGGATACTGGCAAGCTGATTGCGCAGGTTCGTCAAGTTAAAGGATTGACTCAAAAGGATCTTGCAACTGTAAGTACATCACAAATTGCTCCTCCAAGGTCACGCTAACCTACTTAAACTGTTTTTCGTTCTCATCCTTAAAATATAGCTATGCTTGAGAAATGTGGCGAACATTACACAAAGCTTTTGGCTTCGTGTTTCTTAGTCTTTGAGCCATAACTTGCAAGTTACTATTGTATTCACAGAAAATCTGTGAGAAGCCTCAGGTGGTAAACGATTACGAAGCTGGCCGCGCCATTCCCAACCAGCAGATTCTGACGAAACTCGAAAGGGCTCTTGGTGTGAAACTGCGAGGTAAAGACAAAGGACAACCTCTGGGAGGTCCCAAAGCGAAGTAAATATCTTCGGAGCTTTAATGAACGAATGATACGACGAATGGACAGCTCAATGGAGCACAGAAGAGTCGAAGATGGTGACGTGTGAAACCGGAGCACCTCCATCTCAGGAGATACATACCATTGCAACTGCAATTGTCGTATTGTCCGCCACAGCTGCAGCAGAAAAATAAAACTTTGAAATACAAAAAAAATGAGATTAAGTCTACGGGAAACGCCGCAAAATGACTAATTTTTGCTATTCAATTTACTAAGCCTGTTACTACTGCTACTATCATGATTACTGCTGGATATTACGAAAGGTATTATAATATTATTATTAGTATTAACATAGTAATTATCATGAATGGTATTGTTATTATGTTCACGTCTATAAAAAAACAAACAGATGCACACAATTACGCATACTCTCCGTATATTATTAAAACAGTGAATAGGTAACGACGAAGGGAGCGAAAGACAGCATCAAAAAGAAAGCAGTGTTAATATAACAAATAAAAATTAAAAAAAAAAGTAATGTGTTAATAAACAGTTGTGATGAACCCGAGCAGTTGGAAATACTGACAGTGTCGAGGTTTTACAAAGTGCTTTGTATTAATAACAGTAATAGGAAGTACAGCGGCGAAGGAAAATAAACTCTTTTTTTTTGAGAACCTAGTCGATTAATTTGAGCAATTATTTACATATATTTGGGTTCTGTGGTATTTGAAGAATAGGGGTATATATACTATGTGTACATGCTTTGCTGTGCACGGCGCTACTTTGCTAACTGTTACTGTACAATGTATAAGGCACCATCTGCGTGCAATATACATATGTTATTTATTAAATAACACATTAACGGAATGCAAGTTGTATTATGCAATGGGTAAGTGAGATTATCTAGGACTTAACCATTTCATTCAGTCGTTCACAAAACGAGCTCGGTTTGCGAAAACCGCGTAGATTAGTGTCGTTTAGCAAGCGCTAGCAAAAATCAAGTTAAGTATTATTAGTAAGTTCATCAGAGACGAAGTGTGCTTGTCACGGAGAAATTCCGTTGTGTTAAGGTAACTAAGTGGGTTATTATATGATCGATAATGAACGTCTTTGACATCCTTTCCATGCAATATCTTGTTCGGTAGTCTTCTTCATTTGCGGTTGGCTCAGCCTTCGACCCTTAAATAGTAAATGACTACGAATCAGAGCTGTAAGGTGTTCTTACGGGGCTCATGCAGTAGAGAACTGAAATTTAACTAGGTCCATCTCAGTCTATTACTGAAACCTGCAGGCTTGCATTGTGAAGTGTCATGGCAACACTCTTTTGACTATAAATAGAAGCCGTGTAAATTACTTCACTTGTAAACGCATGTATTCTATGAGAAGAAATCCTCTGAGGATATCGAATAATTCATAGGGCCCAATCAGCTAATGCGGCGTGGTAAGATCACTGAGTTTTTTTTAATCATTGACTGAAAGGCATTGAAAAAAATGTAAATTGATGCAGACGGGTTTGAAACTATATTAAAAGAGTTGAGGGTGCTAGAAACTTTTACGGTAGCCTATGGTAATTCTTTATATCTTTTTCATATTCGAAAAGAACACTGAATTTATTATGTACACTTTGTTAAAGAAGTCGTGCTAATGTACAGTGCCCGCGGGATAGAATAAGCAGTCGTACCAAGGACTTAAGCCCAAAAAGTTTCAAGCTGTAGTGTGTTTGGGCGCGTGCAAATTGAAAAGATCCTATACAAATTTGGCAATAAATTATTTTTATTAACAGGCTGTATGTATGATGGTCGCCTGTCCATCTGTACATCTCGTTTAGAAACTGCAGATTGTATAGCCATTGTAAATATCCCAAACATTGTACCTCTTAATACTGACGAAAAAGACTGCAGTATATAACAAAAAAAGGTAAAATCGACGAAATAACGATCTCAAGTTTTCAACTTCTTATACCGTAGGTATGCATAAGTTCATCCAAATCGATTGAAATGATTGCGCTAGTAATTGCTAACAAAGTCAATTTGTCAAATGAACTTGTTTCTGATAGGCGGAAAACAAACTAAAATGAAGCGCGATGAAAATGATCGATAGGGTAACACTTCGACTTATCACGATCTTGCTTGATAATTCTATCTACACCTACACCTCTGAGTTGTTGCTAATTTGGATGTCTTATACAAGAGGACGGTTCATGGAATGAGTCTATTCCAGAAACTGGCCCTGCAATGTACAGAAGTTTTCAAAAAGTTAATATTAAAAAAAAAAATTGTGTTATCCTTTGTTGAAGATGTTTTTCAGCATTGTATGCATTGAAAAAGTATGAAACGTTGAAAGCATACATACAATTTGAGTTACGATAACTTCCTGCACCTCACGTTTGTTACAAATTGGTGCGGCGTATTCCATATGAGAGAGCCTAGTCGCATTTATTTCCTTTTAGAAGTTCAATGGAACTACCAACTTAGTTTAATAATAGCTAACAAACAGCGACAAAGTTATCTCTGTTGGTGAGTTCGGATTTCAAGTTGCTTTCGACGTAAATCATTACCATCTAATGAGTGCCTCTCACCAAATGAAGTTCACCATGAATTTGTAATCGTAGTAACCAAATTGAGTTGCATCGTGCGTTATCGGCAGATTCAAAGATTTGTCTGATTTTGTTTATATTAACTGCAGGCTACTGGTGAAATTTCAAATACTTTCATAATGAATCGATACGTTAGATAACAAACAGATATTTCTATTATTATTAATTTTACTTTGAGAACGAATTGCCACTCCGCAAAGAACTTTGTTCAACGTAAACGTTCTCAGAGGCTATTTTGCCAGCCAGATAACTTTAAACTAAGTTAAAGGCAATTTTGTAGATTCTTTTTTATGTGTTAAATATCCTATTGCACAGAAGTAAGCGAGTATTTAAGCTCGGTACTTATAAGTTATTTTTTTTTACAGAGTGTCTCTTCCTGAGTAACTTCGAGTGGCTAGGAAATACATTTACTTTTATATTTTTATTCTTACTCCTCGTAAATACACTTCTTCCGTTCGAAGAAGCCTTGTCCAGAAATAATTTTAGTGTGAGAATAAATCAAAGGCTGGGTTCCTGCTTCAGATTCTGCCAACGGAACATGCTTCTTTTTTATTGACACGTTTTCTGTGAACAATAAAAACGCTGAAAATTGAATTTAGCCTGTTTACCCATTATATCAGATAAGAAATCGGTAAAAATTGTCTATTACTTTTGGTATTATGCTGCACTTTTATTACCTGGATGGCTAACGACGTGTTACCTGAACGATCAAATGGATCTGCATAAACTCGATTTTGTGCTCTGGATGAAATATATAATGTAACGTATGTATTTCTGAACAATTAATTCTCCATGAGATTTTGTTAAATTAAGTTGTATATAGTGTGATTAACTAAACTTGCCTAAAAAATCCTTAAGAGGCTTGCCTAATGAATTTCTTTAACAAAATTCTAAAGATAAGTTATAGGACATGACAATTCGGAAATATATATTTTTTTAAATAGATTAGCGGGTCATTTTTCAACCCTGCTATAAAATATCGTACATATATTTCGCATCAGCTATTATCGCAAGAAGTTTAAAAAAACATCAGAATAGTTTGGGTCTTCAAAATTCCAAAACCTCTAAGAACACTCTTTTGTAGTTTTCAATTAGAGAAACGTATCCGAATAACATCGAATCCAGGTACATACGGGTTGGTACTGATTGCATAGTAATCCCACGATATGTGCTATTGATCCTAGAGCAGATGTCTTTCCTGAGATATTTTTCACCAGAATAACCTCATGGGTGGAGAATAGTCGCTCTCCCTCACAAATCGCACCTCCCCACGTCCAGCCGCGGCTACGATGCATAATGCCATAACAAGGAACCGGCATCTAAAGGAGGGGCTAACAATGCCCTCTAGAAACCTCTAGCGAGTATGAATCATTCGAGGTGCACACCACTTGGTTACCGATGTGTAATACTGGCAAAAAACCCAAGTGATTTGTTCATATTGAAGTTTTATTTTATTTAATGACAATGGGATATCTGTGTCCTGCGACTGCCGTGTGCGTGTGTGTGCATCCCGTCGTGGCTTTTGAAAATGTTAAATATTGCCGTTCATTATCTATTTCTATTGAGATGTTGATACCTTTCTTAAGTGGCCAGTTCGAGATAGATGCTCTGTATGGGTATTATTAAAAAGAACACGGTTGCATGTAAAGAGGATAATTGTTTGACATAATCGTTGGCTCTCGTCAAATTTTCTCTATCTCAAGTGGTAAAGTGCTCGGATGCGGATCTGCCTGCAGCACTATTATTGCCAATCGACATGGCAATCTATGCCAAAGTACAATTTATTTTACTACGTGCGTTATTGGTAGCCCAGTCACTAATGTCATCAAAATTTATACCACAAAAATCGTCGCAAGTGCTATAGCGATAACAAAAATGTATCTCAGACGATTCCATTCTTATTATTTCATTATATTTATTTTATTATATTAATTATTTATTGCGTAGCACTTCTTTCAACTTTTGCACACATTTTTTTCATGAAAAAATCAATATCAGCATACGTTTTTCTATCTTTACTTAATTTTGCCGAAATAATTTCGCAAGAAGACTATGTTAATTACCTTAATACGTGTTAGCCTGTTGATAATCTAAATAAAACCGATTAGTTTTAAATTAACATTTTAACACCGTCACCTGTTCACTGTGAGTAATTGTAATTTTTGTAGTTCAATGCTCTTTATCCAGTTGTACAGCAATCCAAATAAATGTTTAAAATTTTACGTTCTGCGCTTCTGTTTAATTACGGCAGCAAGCGAGGTGTCCTTAAGTTTAGCAAGCGGATACGTTACCTATGTACCTTCGCCTTAGAACCTACAAGTACCCGTCACCTCTGTGGTCCAAATTGTGTCTTTGTAAGAAACATGTACTGCACTTGGATGCATCCACAAAAACGTGTAAATAACAATACAGTGACTTTTGTTATCTTTTACCACTGTCTCATTGCAAATGCTATATAATTAATTGTTCAAAAATCAGAACAGATCAACGCATGGGGTGACAGCCCCGTCCACTCACGACGAAATTGATTGCTATTACCCGTAATGTCTCCTTGGCGGAATACCGCGTTTTTTTTAAATAATTAATTAATCTTTGGGTATACATTACGGTTTTGGTCGTCACGCTAGACAGCAGGTTCGTAATAAATCGATGTTATACTTTAGAGTGAGCCTGATATTTTCTTCCGAATTAAAGCTCCTTTCTTACTATATTTACGATGCAGCAAAAGCCACAGCACTAGAATAATGTACTAAATAAATTTGTGTAGTGCGATATAAGTTTACTCAGTATTACATTTGAATATTTATTACTACGCGGTTTCGTTTGTTTTATGCCAAAAAAATTGTGCTATTTATTTAATTCGGAGAATTTAACCGTTAATAATATTCCTTAGAATTGAACTGGATACATCCTTTGCCTCCTGATTTGATATGGTTGGCCATTATAATTTCGAAAGCTTCGACGGATAGTTAACTTAAAACAAGTAAACTTCGAAGCCGAAAAAGCAATTATATTTTATATTATCAAAACGAGGAAAAGAACTATAGTTTATGCATCGTTGATTTTTTTAATTCAATTATGTTTTACATATTGTTGTTGTATACATTTCTATAATGTTGCCGGCTTTAACATTCATGCTTTGGCCAATGATTGGCGAATAATTATTCTTTTAGGGCTGGAATCTTTAACAGACTATAAGAAAGCACTATATGATAATCATTTTCCCAGATAATTGAGTAAATCAACCTTCTACCCTAGAAAATTAACCGAGCGTTTCGTAAATGTGCTTGCTCTCCCAATTTACTCATCACAATCGAGGTCACACACACAAGAGGATTCACACTGTCAATCATGAACAGAAGTGACAAAGATTATTACATCGATTATTACTCGGCCCAAGCAGACTTCATTGATCGCTTTAGAGGTATATATGAGACCACGTTTTTCTTCGCCCAGCGATTTCCGATAGTTTAAAGATACCCTGAACAGGGTTTATTACGACGTGGGCTTCTCGGCCTGACTCTAGGTAGCGTTTGTAAACGAAACCGGAAAAGTATCAACGTTTTGATGCTATGTATGTAAAGCTGTAAAATTCAGAGACATATCTCAGTGTATTGCTTTTCGAAAAAAATCAATAATTCCTAATAGTAATTTGCAGTAAATAAGTATGGCGTTTGACGATTTCGATATCTTCGAGTCAAAGCCACATAGGTCTATTGTAAAAGCGCCTCATATTATCAATCAATGCCGTAAACAACGTTATCATTTCGATTGCGTATGTATGCCCATTAAAATAGAAAATAGAATCATGTGCACATCGCTGCATCTAGGATTTGCACGTTATTTTTTTAGTAAATGGTCGTATCGGATCGTTTATTATTATTATCGAGACCATTTAAAAAAGAGGCGAAATTACTTTTCATAACATTGTCAAGCTCTGGAGATCGACCGTTTACTTTTCCGCAGATTGCCTCTAGTAACAAATAATTCTGCCTTCTTAAATGATTAAACCACTTGAAGCTTCTGTAGATAGCATGCCACAGTGCTACCTAACAATATGTGCGTACAATCGTCGGCTTGGGTTTGTCGGGTTTTCTGTAAACTTTAACTATAATTCATATTAAGGTCATCGGTTAAGACTTGAACGCGTGCACATGCTTGTCAAAAGTACTGATATGGACCCCTTTCGATGTTATCCTGACTATCTGGGAGATGATTGGCAGTTAGTACCCTGCGCCCTTCTGTATATTTGTTGCATTGTATTGTGCAGCTTTCACAGTTTTCCTGTCCCGGAACTGAAATGTCTAGAACTATGCGAAGCGGGCTTGAATTAGCACACATATAAAATTGAATTTTACAGATTGAAAAATGTTTATGCACACACATTTTCTTTCATAGTTAATGGAGAAAAACATTTGCACGACCTTTATCAATGAAATACCACTCGACCTATCAATTTCATTGTCACCTGCATCGGGAATGGAAATATTAGTGTTTACTGGTCACGTCTAGTCGACGTACATTCTAAAGCAGCCACAGCCTTGGTCGAATACGTCTTCAAATATGGAGAGCATCATAGCACCGACTGATGCTCCGGTGATTTCACTACAAGTGTTAAACTATTTCGTCACATTTTGCATGACGAGCATGCAAAAAATAAGGCCTAGTTGTGAATGTGGCCTTATGCTTATTAGGTACTATTTTAGCCCGACTGACACCTGCGACGAAAAAGAGGTACAGATTCATCTATCGCAATCAGACCGACTTATTTTGACACTCTACAGATCCTATTTAGAAATTAACCCTTAGTCATGCGGTTGTTTTTGTTAGGAAGATTTATATTGTTATCTTACAGTGTGGCCTAACTAAGGCAAAGCTAATTTAGGCCACGAATTTCGTAATTTGGACCAGCTGTTTAAAAATGTAGCGAATAAATGAAGTGCTAGAAGTATACAACAAGTACAATAGGTACTTGTACTTGCAGTAGATGTAGAAACGAATCCTCGGAGGCTTTGTAGATATACCATTAGTCGCACACAACAAACAACCTAATTCTTCCTGTTTATTGGATCTGATCTAAGTCGACAAACTCAGCTATGACCTCGAATCCATGTAATTTTTTAGAAAAGAAAGCATTGCTTAATGTGTATTTAAGTATCTTAGCACTTTTCTGGCCGTAGTAAAAAATGGGCAAGCCTGTGATTTCTGCGCTCTAATACCAATATCCTATAGTTTATGCAAGTCTACGCTTCATTCATGCATTTTCTTGTTGGCATCAATATATTAGGATTACAATCAGTAGAGAAATTCCAAATATCGGTAGCTGTTCCTTTTTTCATTGTCCTTTCCAGCGTAGGCCAGGACTCGAAATATTCTCAAGTAGTGTCAACTAGTCGTCGGTAAAATTTGTTTTATATTTTGAGGAATACTGCCAAATTTTGGAAACCAGAACGAATCGATCATTTTTGCAGTTTTAGGTTCACTAAGCGCGGAAAAATTGCTAAATTCAAGATATACCGACAACATTATATATCCTATGCTTTGTTCAAACTCGTTCTTTGCTCTAACGTTTAACTAATTTCGTCAGCAACGATATCTCTAAATGTAAATAATTTTTTCCCATTCCCGGCAACGGAAAAACGCTTTCATGGAAGCCAAATATTGGTTTATCAATTTCTACTTCTATTTTGAATCACCTGACTGAATCGGAAATCTGAACTGATAAAAGTCTGATAGCGCAAGGTCGAAGTTAACCTGGATTATAGATTTAGTTACAATATGCGCAGGATCAGACGAAGAAACTAGAATACAAGCAGACTGTACGTTCTACAAAATCACCAACGATATAATTAAGACCTCTAATGTTAACCGCAGTCGTGTTGGTTAATAGAGATCATGAAATAATTGGAGAAATGTAGGCTTATTACGCATCGTTAGATTAAGCGGTTTGCACTGCTTAAAGGGCAACTGATATGAAGATTGCCGGTGCCTTTTCCGTAGAAGAGACTGCACCATTTGCACAATCATAGGGGATACAATTTTTTAATCTTAAGCAAAAATACGTTGAAACATTTTATACGAAAATCATTGGGTAGTAGACATAATTGAGATCTAAAGTGATCTCTTGGTGGTTTAGTAGTAGTCAAGTCATCTGGTAGACAAACACCATGGGGAATCTAGAAATATAAAGTTTTATTAGATTTTCCTTAAATACATAAAAAGTTGTCTATTAGTTATCTATAAATTAATTCCTGATTCATAAAATTTTCATTTGACTAGCTGAGCTGGTAGTACTTTCGATTATCGCAAACGTGGATTCACAAACAACACAATATGTTTAACTAAACAACAAAATAAACCTAACTTCAGTAAAACTTAACCAAACAATTAATTGAATCAAAGATTACATATTAATGAGTTAGGCTGTTTAGTCCTCTTTTAAATCCGGCATCATGGAGTTGAACCAGGCAACTTCGAACGCGTAGGGTACAACACAATCGAAAGTAAACCGATGTGTTGCATAAGAATTGAAGCTCCCGCTAAAACGAGTTCCGTTGCTCAACGAAATAAGCGTTAGACCGCAATCGCTCTATAAACCTCAAAAATTTCCGACTTTGGGCTCCACCTCCTGAAGTTTAGCACCCCAGCAGCATATGTAATTGTTTCGAGACAATCCTTCACAGTGCCTGAAGTCGTCCATCACCTGGCGATCCACCGAACTGACAGGGGTCTGTTTGGTTGAATAGCCGACTTCGAGTTGAATCTACTTCTTCGGCTCGTCGTTTCATAGAGCCCAGTGCGTCCGCACATCGAAGTTCGCCTTGGGGTTTCCCATCTTAAGTTCAGAAGACGCGCTGCTCATTGGGGTACTAACGCAGCTAGTTAGTTCGACCCCAAACGCTTTGTGAGCCGTGGCATAAATTTTGCTCTTATGCAATCGGCAGAGACTCCCCACTGAGGCTGCTTGAGTCTTCAGCAACAACCAAGTTACTGATAACGTGAAGAACTTTGAAAGCCAAACTTTTCGTTAGCAGGATCACACATCGTAAAGCTTCCACAGAACAAAATCAACGGATCGTAAAAAAACTGAAAGTAGAATCAATGAGAAAGGAGACAGTAAAAAAACATTGTAAATCAACACGATCAAGTGGTTTCAGTTATAGCGTAACAAGTTAATTTGTCGATCTTCAATTTCTGTGTAATGTTATGCTTGCAATTAGAAAAAGACGGCCCACTGGAGCTCGATTTGAGGGTGTAATTAACCAAGACAGTACAAAGCTATTAAAGTGGGTGCAGCTTGATTAACCTGGACGTGCATCTGGGGAATCATGGATCGCAAACGGCATGTTGATTCGGTGAAACGCTAGGTGCTTTCGAGGGCCACGTTTTTTTACGCCAAAATTAACGTTCAACATCTCCATTTCAGTCTCTCGGCAAAATCGAACTATTGTTATTATTATTATTATTATTACTATTTAAATAAAAGTTCGGTTGTTTTCGCTGAAAAGAGGAATACTTATTTAGTAGAAATCGGCATCCAGGCTCGCTTACGTCTAAAATACCGTTCTATCATGCAAGATAATACATCTCGGTTGCAGCAACAACTATTGCTGTTATATTATAATAACATACTGAATATCCTGATTGATCAGGACCCAAACTTTTCTTGAGAAACTTACCTAAGCAAGGAAAAGAGAATAAAATACGTAGTCGTCAAAGTATCTTGTCATCAATATATTTCGATAAATTTATTAATATTAGTTTTTTCTTTTTTTTTTTTACTATTTATTTTCTAGGAGTAAATTAGGTCATTGATACAACACACATAATAACATATACACGTTTTCTCGTTTGTTGAATGCGTTGCAAATAAATATGGGTTTATGACTCATTAACATTAATAATAATATTTTTTGATAAAGGCAGACTTAAATGTCATCTTGGCCGGCAGTTTCAGAACGCTACTCTGTGATAAGGAGACAGCTTGCAGTAAACTTCAGAACTACCGATCTTCCACGGTATAGGTAGTATATCTCGCCCAACAAGCTGTTTGTTTACAACTTTTGTTAAGATACTCGATTTCTTTTCAACAAAAAATGGTCTAATAATGCCGGCAGACGATAATGAGATTACAAGCCCTTAAGATTGCTTGCCTCAAAGATCTTCAGTACAACTATATAGCCTTCGTTAGCTGCAAATTGCACAGACCGGATAGACCTTAGAGTTTTACTGGGGTCTTCGAATGGCCTGTTGTGGCGGCTGCTGCTGCTGCTGCTGTTGCTGGGGGACGCTTTGCCCTGGCCTCGCAAGTTGTTGAGCGTCGTCTTCGTAGTCGTCTTCGTATTGATTTTCAGCGTGGCCAGGAGGCTTGGGCAACTTCTATAACGGTCAGTATATAGAAAAAAAAAAAAAAAAAAAATAGCACACGATGTTACATGTTATTGGGTCAATGTTGACATTTTTATTCGACGAAAAGTAGCCCATGGATGTCTGAATGTCTTAGTTGACGAAATAGATGCTACAAAATATTTTGGCCGGGATATGACGCCAACTGTGAGATATAAAACGGCAATGTTTTATTCATTCTGCTTCAAAAAGCCCAATTGCAAAACGCGGCCCACTTTATGTTTTGTTATTTTTGTTGAAATACATCAATAAGGCGCACTTTTGTCAATTGTCATTTTCATTGAATTAAACATACCAATTTTGATATATGCTGTCTATGACTGAATTATAGATTATAAAACTTCCCAATCATCGATCAGAGAACGGCAAGCTTAGAACGGTTCACTGATTTAATTTATAATCGGTGCAGACTCATTGTGCATAACCGCTATTGCAATCATTTTACGACCGGTTTGTCTTAAATAGTAGAGATAACTGTTAATATCCTCTGGATGTTTACCTTCTAGTTTTTCTAGCCATTCGATGATCGAGTGGCCAACTGAGTAAATGCCGGATACATGAAGGGTTGACTGTACCAATAGAATTGGATATGTTCGCTATAGCGAACGCAGTGAGTGATAATGGTAATTAGTCATTGGCCGGCAGTGATTACGTGTCAGAGCCATACTTATATTAGCGGTAACAAAAATATGAATATTTTATTTTGGCGTCCAATTAAAAATGACGCAACTAGGTATAGCCTGATGTATAGGCTCTACCGGTAGGGTAGTTTCCATTCGCGGTTCCGTGAGCAGAAATAAAGATCCGGGAAAAAACCCATATGAGGCGACTGATGGTAGAATCGTTCATTTGCGCAGACCGCCGAAAATGGTAGTTTGTACGTTATCATGAAATACGTTACAGTCAAATAGCATTACTAAATATATATATATAGAATAATTATGTTTTAAACATCAATTACTATATCAACTATCTAAATGGAAGCTTGACAAAAATGATGATCCAATTAGGAACGATCATTTATAGACGGCGAAAACAGCTAGGCAAACAACCAACTTACTGCGAACGCCGACTTCAATTCCTGGAAATGAAAACATTGACACTCGTATACTATATCCCTCTAGTCGGTGCCAAAATGTCGTTTGCTAAGATGAACTTGTTATGGAACGGAGGCTAAGAAGTACTTACGTTAGCAAGATGTTCGCAGCCCTTAACCTTTGCGGCCCATTGACAGCCCGCACTTTCAGGGTCAAAGGCTAAGCCAGGCTGACATTTTAGGACCTTCACTTTTCCCTTGTCACACTGGTAGAATTCGTCACAGATCTGAGGCCATTTTTCATGACGATAATAGCCGTTTGCACGCGGACAATGCGGACTGGTCTTTGCTTGTTCTAGGTTAGGCATATCATCAAATTCAAGAGGTAAGACAACTGTACGGTCATGAAGCATAAGCCCAGATCATATTCGTTATGGGCACACAGATAAATCATCATCATCATATTCATGTACATGTGTTGATTGTTATAATATTGTTGTTATCTCAGCTCAACAACAGGTTACTATTATCACGGCAGTCAGTAGAGCGCAAGCAAAGCACATGCTTGATCTTTGTATCTGCTCTATAAACGAGTAAATAAATGACATGACGAATTTTACCTATAAACTGGAATCCTACTACTTAGAGATCGAAAGCAGAACTGTTTGCTAAGACAGTGTATTAACCACATTAATTGTTAGAGCGAAAATTTCTTTCTCAATAGCAATAGTAAACGTATTTGCGTCCTGCTAAACCCAGGCGCTATAGATGTCGTCCTTCGTTAGAACCTTTTGATAAACTTACGTAGGTACGGTCTCTCAGAGCAGTCGACGTTTGTGATCACGTCGCACTTTGCATACAGGGGGTTGTTAGTCCAGATGAAAGCCATGCCATCATCACAGAGCTTCGGCTTTGGAACGCCATGACGACATTCATAGTACATGTCGCATTGCTCTTTGTCTGGATAATAGCCATTTTTTGTCGGACATTTGAATCCCGCCTGGCCTAAATTGACATTAAAAATAGCAATGTATTACAAGCATAGTTACTTCCATCAGAAGTACCACATCTTGAAAGCATTTTTACCTCCTTTAAATTCCTTTGGGTTTTAAAGAGCACGAGGTGCACTCGCGTAAAAGCCTTATCATCCATGCTGTGATTTTACTTATCAAACCATGGACCAAAAATAAACCGCGTACAAATATACTATCTACAGAACGAGATCCTCACTATTACATTTGTGCTTACTCGCACTTAACCACAGTAAACACACACGCACTAAATCTATCAATCTAACGCTTCGGAGAACTTTGCTGCAACCTTTGAGCAGGTGCCGGTTCCGTCACGTATGTGAGGAGCAGCCCGTGCCTCAACTTGCCACTTGCAGATGGCGAGAACTCACCCAGGGCGCTGGACGCCAGGGCCGCAACTAACGGAACTAGAACTGGCAACATGCCGATTGTATGTGAGGAGCGGTTCGTTCTCCGTTTAGATTGAATCTGATGTTGCTCGGTGCTTTTAAAACTTCCTTCTTTCTTTTCAGGTCTCTCCCGTTGGTGGGCGCAACGATGGCACCCCGACGGCGGGGGGGAATCGGTTGTCGGCGACCACAGCGACGGCCGCGCTGGTGATGGCGCCGCTGTCTTCTACAGCGACACGTCTACGGTAGCACCACATTTAGTCGTCAACGGCTCGCGGTTCGCAGCCTGCCGCAACTGCAGAACGCCCGTCATCCATGGGCAATTTACTCTTCACTACCCCAGCCCGACCCCTGTTTATATGTGCGACCTGCTCGTTTGCTCCTTTGCCAGGAGAATCGGTCGCACTGCGTGTGGCTCACAGCTCCTCACACACATCGACTATCAAGTTCTTTTGTTCACGCGTTTTTAAACATGCAATGTTTGCAGAAGCACACTTATAATTTTTTAACTGGTTCTCGATGATTTGCGGAAATCGGAGATTATTTATACGAACTAGCTGCCTATTGAAGATCTCTTACCTTGCCTAGAGATCCCTTCTGCTGCAATAATTCGGAGCTACATGCTTTGGATATATTTACTGACGAATAGAAAAAAAACTAATTCAAGCTAGCTGAATGTAAAATAACATATAAACAATGCATGGCATATAGAAAATGCAGACACAATAGGTTAGCCTGCTACAGAAAACCCGATGCTGGTCAAAACGTGATGTTGAAACTATCAAATATTCATATATAATTAACTTAATTTCACCATTTTACTATATCATAAGCATACAATAAGAAAACGTAGCGCATTCAAAGTGTCAAAGTGACATGCATCACAGAACGATAACGTGGCTGTAGATGGTGAAAGAACTAACTTAGAAATAAAAAAAACTGTGAACTTGAATATCCTCGAAAGTTTTTCTGTCTTCATCTCCCAAGCCCAACGGTGTATATAATATATAATACAATAGGATAACTTATAAATAAATACATCGGGATCGACAAACATTTTCGAAGGAATGTAGTTATTTTGAGACGCCATTTACAGACTAGCGGGAATAGTACCGTGAATCTCTCTTTAGGAATCTCACAGAGACTCCTTTTGCGTTACGAAAAACATTACGAACATTTAAAAAAAAAAACTTGTTTTTATTAAAATTACTTCAAAAACTATTGATTCAAATTTCTGAAACACTTAAGTCATGAATTACTTGGGTTATTATCAATTATATATAAATATGCATTTTCGTGGTAAATGAATGTTTGATTAACTCTTCAAGTGTTTTAAGAAATTTATTTAGGCAGAATACCACGGTACTGGAAGTTGAGTGGAGAAGAATGAAATCTGTATTTGGGACAATAATTCTTGATTCCCCTTTCTTCTTCTGCAAGTTGTCATTCACGTTCACTATATATCCGTTTGCAAATGAAGCTACAATGAGGAGGTGTTCGCAATGACTGAATATTGAAGAACTTCCCTTAACTACTTCATTGGAGTAATGTTGCTCAGGTTTTCGAAATAGCTGCTATTGAAATTACACAAACTGCAATCGAGATGAATTATAAAAGGAAAAATATAAGCGACTAAAAAAGTCGCAGTCTTCTTAGTCCGATATGGAAAACACATATGGAAACAGATCAAGCCAGCGAACGCTCTTACCCCATTTGGTAGTTAAGCTCGTACCGCTTTTTTGCCTATTCTAAAGGCGATAGCTTCTCGCGTAATTCAAGCTAACAAATCCCCACTTAACAATAGCCGCGGTTGAAGTGAAATTAATCCCATCATTAGCTTAGCGCTATTCGTAACGTCAAAGCGCCATCGTCAGATTTATATTAATTATATACTATTTTTGTAATACCAAAACAATTACCACTGCATTAACGATTTACGTAGAACGTTATAATACACATGTTACGTTCCATTCACGTTTTCTATTTGGCACACTATTGAAGCCGATGATTCGAATCTAGCATAGTCAACAATTGGCAGTTGACAGTTGTTGGTAAGAAGTCTTTTTAGATGCGTTTCGTGCAACAAAAGCCCTACAACTATGAGACGTGCAGCTTGATCAGGCGAGCGTTCGCTCTGTCAATCGGCTGCTCGCTCTATCGCTCGCCGCATGTGTGCGTGACGGCGGGAGCTCCACGTGCTGGTTGCTGGCGACCCCTCTGACCGTTGCACCACAGCCATTGTTGGTTCCAGTGCCGCCGCCATCATCACGTTCATAAATCATTTTCTCAATGCACTCCTGTTATTCTCGTCTCCGAGACTCGCCCACATCTGTCTGCTCAATGCTGATTGCCCTTTCGTTAAAATGGTAAACAAACGTGATGTGGTACCACGACACATACACCAGCGCCATCGTCGACAACAGCGACAACAATTGTTATGTTGCTGTCTGCCTGAGGAAGATTCATATCTACACTAGCGTCAATGGCACACTCATCATTAAGCATGCTATGCAGATTTATTCAGCTCGTGAATCGTTGATACGTTTGGTGGTGGAACAGTTCTCATCTTCGGAACGATATCGACGAGATTTACAGCTACGACACATCATAATTGATGTGTATGAAACTATACATTAAAATTATAATCATATAAAATTCTAGCGATTTGTAGATATTCAATGTATATGCGTACTCGAATCAAATTTTTCAATCTATCAATGTATGTCTAATATTGAATACAGAATTTAGAATTCGGAATTTTCTGGGTTTGTAAAAGAAATGTATCGATGAAACGTCCGGATTTAGTTGGCTAGAGCCCTACTCACAGACGCATTCAAGGTGCCATATTTGTCTATTTACCCGCTATCCATAGATCAAATTTTTAAAATATCCAAAGGTACGCTTTGTATTTTGCGTACGCTTGGACAGATTTCGCTCTTCTGTAGAGCAAAAACACGGTACTAAAAAGCAATATGCATCATGTTGAATCCGAAAGTTTTAATCAAGTGTTTATTAACCGTGTTGATGCTGCTTTTGGGGGATCAGGCTGTGTATCGACGCGGCGTGCACGACAAAGTGCCAATAGCTTCGTGACTTTTTTAAGCGACCTATTATAGCGAGTATGGAGGAAAGAACCTATACAGAATCTCCGACCAATGTTTAAAGTGCTCGTGGAAGAGTCAGACATTTCACCCGAGTACCACGCGCGGGCCATTTTGAAAGATCATTTAGAAACAAGCAAGTACCTGGCAGCTCTGCCGTAAAGGACCTGACTTCGAGCAAATGCAGACCCATCAAAAAACGTCTTAAGAGAACCCTAGCGCGTTCAAAGAAAATTCGTTTGAACGCGTTATTACAGATTGAAAAGATAGAAACGTCTGCGTTTTAAGCAGGGACAAAAGATTGAGCATTGGTTTCAAAGAAAGTTCAGACTGACAAAAGTGCAAGATCTAAGTCAAATGCCAAGCTTCTTTCCATAGTCATTTTTGACTATTCTGAACTCGTGGGTTATAGATGAATGCTAGATGGTCTTACTATCTACTACTACAAAAAGTTTTATAAAATTCGTGTCACTGTGCATGGTCTACTTTTTTTTTTTCAAAGAACTTCGGTCTGTATTTCCTGAACCTGACTTTTTTGTGTCTCAAAGTTCAAGAAACATTCGTCAGGGAAAAGTTACAGAACTATCGAAGAGATCTAAGGAAAAACGAGAGAAGAGCTGAGGTCTACTACTATGATTGGGTTTGAAGACGATAGTAACGGTTGCAAAAAACGATGACGCAGGTGCATTGAATCCGGCAACGGGGGTAGGATCGTATGTACAATTAGTGAAAAAAATGTTTGGTACTTTTTATACAGTAGCTAGCATACCACAAAGTGTTTTTATCTATGTTTAGAAAAGCAATTTAGTTCTTCTACAGGTATGCGTATAAACAATGTACGGGTAATTTTTAATAGCTTCAGGCATGATTGCATACACGAATCTAACCTTAGCTATTTCGAAGAACTATCGCTAGTGCACTGCATAAGTATCCACACAAAAGTTTTTAACTCATTTTTGTGTTTGGGATAAAGTTGAAAGCTTTAAAGCTTAATTTCTTTTATGATATGACATAGTAAATGCATCAAATAACAAATACAAATATGCAACATAATTTACATGACGAAAGAGGTATCGACATTCTCCTATTGAAACCGCAGTACAAATTTAAAGAAAGATAGAAACCACTGCTAGTACAGATACTACGATTTTCAACAAGGAATAACTGTAATAGTTACAGTCACGCTTTCACATGGCATTATTATGTAGAATTACATTAATATACTTCGCTGACCGACATTAGAGCTACCGGCATAGCCGCGGTGCTGATGTTATTTACGTAGCCACTTCCGAAAAAAAGAAACAGCAGAAAAACGTACATGGAAAGAGAGCAATGCCAGTGATGGAATAGACGGCGCCATATAATACATTGGATGAATTATAAAAAAAACAAGCTGTCGCACAAGGCAGCATAATATGAACTAAATCTATCCACGTCTCGATAGCCCTGACGCGGATGAAGTGATCCTGTGCGTCCCTCACAACACGATGAGGGCTCTGGCAACTTACGGTTTGACGCTCGGAGCGGCAGGCTTGGGACTGTTGGGGATGGGGCAAAAGCGTACATCTTCAATATCGACGTTGTGTTTCTGCAGCTTCAGCTCCGCCAAACCGGCGTTTCTGCCGCTGATGTTATTGCCGTGTAACACGATGGCGGATGGGCTGCCGCCGGTAGTAAACCGCCGATTCGGACAACTTCTAGTATTAGTCTTACTTCTTTTGTCGGTACGCGCTGCAAATCGGAACCGAATTGATACAGCCACTGCGGTTCATAGTCGCTACGTCGGTTCCGCGTTCAGGCGCCAAAACCCCGCGACGCTTCAAGCACTCGGCGTACTGACGTGTACATACGCTCAGACACAGAGGAATAGACAGACATTTGGCATCCCACTACCGCTGCCACCGCCGCCAACGCTGCGTTAGCCAGCGAGCCCGTCATCAGCGTCATCAGCTCCTATGGCAAAACGTTTCTATCAGTGCGCTTGACCACGTAAGCGTTATTAGCACCACAATGGACAATACAAAATGTCGAAGTCAGCAGCACTAGAGGAAACAGTTTTACTTGGGTCTGACCCTATACTT